GGTTCTACTGAGAATCCTTGGAAGCTTCAATTCTACCATCATCATATGACTTTGGCTAATAGTAAATACAGAAACAGCACTGATCTCTCTAATTATTTCTGGCGGTTGAAAGATTCCAGCAGTTCACCTGCTATTAAATGGAATATAATGGCCAGGGCTAAACCATTTAATGGCAAGGGGAATAAATGCAGCCCGTGTTTAGTTGAAAAAATAATTATATTACATTTAAATAACCTGGGCTTACTAAATAAGATAAAATGAACTGATCGTCACATGTAGACATAAAAATAAATATCTACTCAAGCAAGTAAACCCAGATTAATTTTTCTATACTATCACAGTTTAGTTTCCAGTGTAGGGTATTTTTTATTAACTTACTTATTTAATATTTATTATATTTTATAGGTTATTACTTTTTTTTTTTTTAAATATAGATTTTTCATTATATATTTTTATTCATATTTTTTTTTTTATTTCATTTAATTTTTAGTTATTTATCTATTATTTTTTTTATAGATTTTAATAGTTTTTATGAGTTATTTTTATATATATATATATATATATATATATATATATTAAGAAATGGACAAGGTCCGACAATTTATTTATTAGAGACATTTTTTATGTTTAACGTTGTTATTTATAGATACAAGTATTTAAGCAAATGCTCTGTTTATGATAAACAGTATTAAATAACATTTACCGGCCTGAATGTCCGAGAAATTTTCATAGAAAATATTCATTCTTTGACAGGATTCGAACCTGCATCCTATACGGAACCGTCATTTATGCTGACGTGCCTTACCTCTGGGCCACAAAGAACCTTTCGGTAGACAAGGTCGAATTTATTGCTTATAAACTTCAATCTTCCATGAATCTCGTACATTCATAACTGCTCTGGCGTATCAAATGTAAACAAATGACGTCATATATTAAGAAATGGACAAGGTCCCGACAATTTATTTATTAAAATTTAATTATTAATTATTTATAAAAATGTCTTTAATAAATAAATTAGATTATATATATATATATATATATATAAAGTGTGTGTGTGTGTGTATATATATATATATATATATATTTATTCTATATTTTTCACTAGTAATTTTACTATTTTATATTAAATTAAGTTAGCTTCCTTCCATTATTAATAAATTAATAATTTATAGTTGATAATTCACCACTCTAAAATTAAATAATTATTTATCTTTTATATAATAATATTGGTTGATTTAGTTGCTAGATTTAGTGTCATGAGAAATATAAATAAATTTTTTTTTAATTTTTTAAAGTTTTTGAAAAAATTATATCATTATATAAATAGTGCTTAACTACACCAGTATTACAATAAACTGATATTTCAAATTAAATTTGACTAACGGTCAGTATACACTCCACACCTGAAGATTGCATTTGGCATGAAACTGAGTAGTGCAAATGGTGTGGGATATATATATATATATATATATATATATATGGTTTGTGGTTATTTGAACCCAGATAAAGTTATACATTTTTTTTTTTGTTACATCTCCCCTCCCCTACTAATTCCGGTTTCGAACAAAAGTACTTAAGTTGTTGAGCTCCATTTGGTTGATTTGCTGAACAAACCATGGTAGTGTTTTAGTCAGCATTCTTGTTTTTTTTTTTTAAAAACATTAAACAGCTCTGCAGGTGTGGTCTTCCAACTTGATATTGAGCATTTTTAATGCGTATGATCTTAACAAATATTTTACTATTTGTTTACTCTGGAATATATTTTGTTCCTGTTTAGCAGCTGAGCACTTTATTTGGACTGCGTATCTGTAACACAACTTTTGTCTGCTTAAAAAGAAAAACAAACATGAAAACCACAAATATAGATTTTAATGAACTCAAAATCTGTTATTTTCTAAAGAACATCCCGATTCCTAATAAGCATAAGTACATGATTATCATGCTGAACAAAATAGAATCTTTTTTGTATAGAATGAGATGGAAAGCCTTTTTTGCTCTAAACAGCAATGCAAGAAATAGCAGTGAAAATAATATACTTCTGTTAAAAATGGATAAATACCCACCAGTTGTGAAAGAAACATCAGATTTCGAGAAAGACCTTATAGGTATTTGAAATAAAATAAGGTTCAGAACAAAAAAAAAAGAATTCCAGAAGAAATTATCAATGGATATTAGTGATCTGAAAATATTAAAGAAAAATTTTTTTATGGGCGACAAAACGAAGAAAATATATGCGATGAGCCCAAAGAAGTACAGAAAAAGAATTACAGAGGAGGTGACTAAATTCTATAAAAAGACTCCAGTTTCCTATGTGGATGACATCAACACTGAAGCAAAAGAAATCTCCACAAAGTTTGGAATTAGCAACAAAATCAGAACAATAGCAGAAAAGCAAGCCTTTTTGACAATTAAGGATCACAAAGAAGACTTCTTCAATAATCCATCATTCCATCTGATAAACCCAACAAAGAAAGCTTGGCATGATAAGCCACAAAATTGTAATGAAAACCTGTGAACTGCTAAGGATGGCAACTCAAGCCAACCAGTGGAAAAAAATGACAGAGTGCATTTCATGGTTCAGGAATATCTCTAACAAAAATAACAAAGTGTTCATAAAATATGATATTAAGGATTTCTACCAGTCTATCACCGAAAAGATTTTATTAGATGCCCTTATGTTTGCAAAAGGTTTTGTATGCTTAAATCCTGATCACATTGGATTAATCTTACATTGCCATAAGTTTATTCTATTTCATAGAAGTGAGGCATGGGTTAAGAAATCTGACACAGGTAATTTCGACATTCCCAAAGGATTGTTTGACAGAACAGAGGTAGCTGAGCTAATTGGAATCTTCATATTAAATAAAATATATAAGATTGTCCATATTGATGACCATGGATTATACAGAGATAATGGACTGATTGTGGAACTGGAAAATAAAAGTAGTGATTCCACCAGAAAAAAAAAATTACATAGAATATTCAAAGACCTGAAATTTAATATTACTGTAGAAATCAACAAGAAAGTTATCCAGTTTTTAGACACAGAGTTAAACCTGTTGAATGAAACCATCTCACCTTTTATGAAAACAAATGCAGTTCTAAGATATATCAATACGTCGTTTAACCATCCACTGAATATAATTAAACAAATTCCATTAGGAGTGCAATGTAGGTTGTCACAAAATTCTTCTACTGAAGATATATATAACGAAAAAAAGAAAGCCTACATATCTGCATTTAAGCTAACCTGCATTTCAAAGAACAGATGAACCCGAGAAATGATTAATATTAATAAAAAAAAAAAGAGGAACATAATTTCATCAACCCACCTTTCAACACACAGGTAAAAAATAAAGATAGGGAAGATATTTTTCAATATATTAGATAAGCACTTCCCCAATACGTTTGGACTATGTAAGTTATTTAACCATAATATGGTCAGATTAAATTATAGCTGCAAAAGCAGTATGGGCAACATCATAAAAAGAATGAATAGCAAAAATTTAAAGCTCAAAACTGATGTGAAAGGTGAAAATAAGGTCTTATGTAATTGCAGGACAAAAGATAACTGTTCTTTAAATGGATTATGCCATACAGAACGAGTTGTATATTGTGCCAAAGTGAAAGGTGAAAATAGTAGCACAAAAAGATACATTGGATGCACTGAAGGTCAGTTCAAGAGGAGGTGGTATAACCATACCTTGTCTTTTAGAATCCCAGGTACAACACAAAGCTAGCAAGCTATTATTGGAACTTTAGGGAGAGGCATAACAAAAGCCCAAACATTAAATGGAGTATACCAAGAAATCTAAAGACTAACACAATAATCGGGAATACGTATAGGCTATGGCTTACCACTACTTCTGGTTTTGAACAAAAATACTCCATTTGGTTGATTTGCTGAAAAAAATCACCTGAGAAAACTGTAGTGGTTGAAACCATGGTAGTGTTTTAGTCAGCATTCATATTTTTTTTTAAAACATTAAACAGCTTTGCAACTCTGGTCTTCCAACTTGATATTGAACACTTTTAATGCATACGATCTTAAATATTTTACTGTTTGTTTACACTGGCATATAAATTCTTTTCAGTTGTAGTTGTGATAGAGTTGATGGGTACAACAATATATTTTGATTCATTGGGTCAAGAAGGTCCAGTCTTCTATTTTGAACATGACTGGCTAATTTCATTATCCTTACACAGATGCACACTCATGATCTGTGTGTGTGTATGTGTGTAATTGGCATAATGGTTATTGATATAGATAATGAAATCAGCAAGCCAAATTCCAATGCTGTTGTTTTTACTTTGTACACATGCCTTTGAGAAAGGCAATAATCCATTTTCTCCCCCCACCAGCTATAATAATAACAGAGCAAAGTGGACTTGTTAAGTTTGGAGAGTCAACCAGTCTAGAAGAAAGACAATTCTGAATTAAAGTCCCTACCAACAATGATAGTGTTAGTCTATTTATGACAGACAGGCTTGCTCCATGAAGTGGACTGAGGAATTGGCTGAAAATTTATAACAAATAATAGTTCAACTAAGAATGATGCATTTGCAATGTAAAACATTAAATGCCAAAGAATCAAAGGAATTGTTCTGTTCACAATGTATGAGGGGGATTGTAACTAAAAAAATTTTTACATGGTAAGGGGTTGATTTTAGGGCTTGTGCACACATTAAGGAATGAAATGAAATAAAAAATTAAAAAAAGCATTTATTACCAGCAAAAATAAAAATAGACAAGGATTAAGAACAATATATATATATATATATATATATATATATATATATATATCTTTTAACAATAATAAAATAAAAACAATTAAAAAAAAAAAATTCAATTTTTCTCTCCTATGTATAAAAAAAATAGAAATTTAGTCAAACCAGATCATTTTTTTTTGTGTCAGAATAAAATAATTTGTAGGGAGAGTTTCTCTTTAAGAACAATTTCACTGTTTGTGTAGACAATTTTCTTGGCAGTTAGAATTGAATCAATGGACAATCTCAGATTCTGTAGCAGAGATTCCTTCCAGTTTAAGACGTTTCAGAATTGGACTGTAGATGTCAGAGGTGAATGGAACCACAATTCCTTTCTTTTGAATTTCACCTAAAAATAAAAATTTTAAAAGTAGATGAATATAGGTATAAAAAATACAAATTTTGTTCTACTGAGGTATGGAAAACTGAATCTGCGAAATGATAGAATGATAAACAGAATCAGTAAACCCCAAACTGATTGCCTTCACCAATCAAACTTATCAACTGTATATGCATGCATATGCAAATAAACAAATAAATATTTATTTAATTTATGGTGCAAGCAAAAGAGTACCCAAGGTAGTTAAACAGAGCTATGAATGAATACACATATACCCCTATGTTTGTAGTGCCATGGCACTCTCAAAATTTTACTGGAAAATTAAAACAACTACACACTGGTAGTAAATTGGAATTTCATTTCCAATACGACATCCTTTTCCAGACACAGCAACCGATGTAACCAGTTTTTGCTGGAAAAAAGATTCATACTCAAAAATATTAATGACTGAATGAATATCATGAGCTCATGATAGTTTGTACCCATAAAAAAATCTCTATCCTAAAGTATTTTGATTCTGGATGAATCTTTTTAGCCAACTTCAACTGCCGATTAAATATTTTAGATTAAATACTTATTACTCCCCTTTAACTATTTAAGCATCTATTAATACATAATGGGTTACACAGCATTCCTCTTTTCTTTAAATATTTAAAAAAAAATTTTTCTCACCTTCTGTCTACACTTTTTATTTTTTTTAATTTATATCCTATTATTATTAAACATTAGCTTTATATACTGTGCAGTGTTACCCCCTTGAAATATAGAGATTATTTATAAACAATATACAATCTCCTGTGCCTATCCACTCCTTTTTATTCATATTGCTTGCTCCTTATGCTTTATCACCCCCCGCCCCTTTAAAAAGTCAAGCTTGCATCACTTTTTTTTTGCTTTGTTTTTCTCAATATCTCCCTCCATACACTCTATATTTTAAATTTACATCCCAATGATATATTGGGTTTATATTAACTTTGAGTAACAAATCTGAGTATAATTTAGCTTTACTCCCATGAGACCCAGTATTTTTAAAAAAACAATTGTAACAAGTGATTCAGTTGCCATATGTGCCTGATGAATTGGGAAACCATGAAACTTTAAGTTGCACTACACACTACAAATGTGTGTGTGTGTGTGTGTGTGTGTGTGTGTGTATATCATAATAAAGAGAAAGAACAGTAAGATATATAATCTAGTGTTCTTATTAATTATTTTTATTTTTACAAAACAGTGCTCAATGCAAATCTACAGAGCATAAATATTATATACTTACTAATTTACGAATATGGTTCCATTGCTACACAGGTATTACCATGTTTCAAAATCAGAAACTAAAAACTTCAAACCATTTCTTTTATTTATTAGCAATGAATTGCCATGCCTGCTTTATAAAGGTAATGGAGTGTTTTCCAATGCCACTCAAGATGAGAAAACTGTCTACTTTGCTATTTAACCCATTGATGAGGGAAAGAAGAGATGGAGGGTATTTGTCTGAAATGCAATAAACTAGCTCCAAATTTGATTTGCTAATTTCACTTTCTGCACCAATAACCATAACACTACCTGCTCATTAAGCAAATAGCTGGCTTATTGCAAGAAACCAAAACACCTGTCTCATCTGCTTCATTTACAGATAAATAACACCTGTTACTCTTGATGGTTGCAACAAATAAAGTTAAAAAAGCCAACATCTTGCATTGTTGTGCTCAAAATTGGATTTCAAAAGATCAAGCATTGTATTAGTGATTGGAAATCTTGTTTCAAGTCTGTTTGATATTTAACCATCACCACTTTAAACTCTTATCACATTGAGTGGATGAAAAAAAATGACATTTCAATTGGAATGCTCTTTTAATCAAGTTTAATTCTAAAGCTGTCTGGAAAGTGAATCATTACAATAGAAGTTTGAATCTTCAAACAGTTAATTGTTTTTTTGACTTTTGTCGCAGGATATAAAATAAAAAAAGAAGTTGTTCAGGTTAGATTTTACAACCTTAATGGTTGCAACCAATTATTGTTAAGTTGAGTAGTTAGTTCAAAGAGAAAGACATTAGCTACTTGGGACCACCATTCTACACTTGGCACTATGTCAAAGAGGTGAAGAATAAGGTGATGTATTCCATCAGTTAAAAAATCAATTATCAAAAAGCAAGTATAACATTAGCTTCCACAAGCAAGGATAGAAGAATTAACGGCAACTATAAAAAATCTGCCATGGTCTGTCTCTACCCACATAAGATGTACATTGGAAAAGATTCCAAGAATCTGCAGTCTCTACAACAACTCTTCAGAGATATCTCTGAACCATGAAAACATGATAAAAAATTGTATGTATTCTTTTGCATGTCACATTGTGGCAAGGAACAAAAAGGAGAGATTAGCTGCTTGCTAAAAATAAGCATGGTGGAATATCAAAGAACTGTTGTCCAAATAAAGAAAAGACAGGCATGGCTGATTATATATGGAGACAAAAGGGGTGCTCATTACCTGTTGTGGAATTAAGTAACAGAACAACACTGGAAGATAAGACAGCTGAAAAAACAGTACATTAAGTAAGCACTGACAACCTTCTCAGTAGACCTAGCATAAAAACAAATGCTCTCTGATTAAGAAAGGGCACCCAACAAAAATCCCACCATTTGAGTTGGAGCAAGTGATGCATAACCTTGTGGATTAAAGTGTTAGTTAAAAAATATCAGGTTCACTAGCAGTTGAGTGTTCAATCCTATGGTCTGGTTCAGTGGAAGAAATGGACAAGTGGCATATGAAATATTCCCTAGATATGGAAGATTAAATAAAAGGTTTAGTTTGAAATATCAAGAAGGTTACTGAGTACAAAGACACTTCAAGATAACTGGAGGGTACAATGGCTGAAATGTTATGAGTATAATGACCAAAATGAACATATGATCACATTCTTCATAGAATTCTCTAAGAAAATAAAAAGAGAGAGAAAAACATATCTGAATATATGGAGATTATGGAATGAGAAAATAATCATTAAAGGCTCAATGAGGGGTACATCCAGGGGTTTAGGATTAGCAAGAATCTGTAACTATATTTTTATCAAATTTGATTTCAATAAATCCTGAAACAAAATTTTGCCAAAGTTTATTTAAAACAAAAACAATAACAAAATAAAAAACAATGTATAGTGAAATAGATTGCCTATTTCTGGTGTTTTATAAGCCATAGGTTTTATTAGTTCCACACTTACTCCTTCTTGAAATGTACATATGTAAACAAATGCTTGTAATACAGATAAACAGTTGCATGTCTTTTACAACTAAAATAGTTTTATCAAAAATACAGAATTTTAATACTTTTATTCCTTGGTGACCTTGGGAAAATTTAACTATTATCACAGGGATCACAAGTGGCTCCTAGCAGTTTGTAAAACAAAACAATATATGGATATTTTCATTTAATAACTAATTACTAGTATTTTCACAGGTGTAAAAATCATGAGTCATTAATATTCTCAGTAAATTTATCCAGTCAGTAATAATAAAAGCTATATCTTATCTTACTTATTATAAAACGCAGATTGTGTGTGTGTGTGTAACGTTTATATATTGGATCGGATTTCCTACATTTTTCAACCGATTTCAACAAAACTTCACAGGACTACATAAAATTACCTTGTGGTGGTTCTAACAGTGCCAAAAGGAAAAAAAAAAATAAAATTGTTTTTGCACAAAATCAATTTGAAAACATGATTAAGAGACATCATGAAAATGGAAGGGGGACAACTCACATCGGGTTGTTTGTGTGTGTGTGGGTTCCTTTAAATATGGGAGCGGATTTCCTATATTTTTCAGCCGATAAAACAAAACTTCACTTTTTTTTTTTGCAGGTAGTGTTTCTTATTCTCTTGCACACTTTTTTTTTATTTTTTTAACATTCAGAATGCTTTAAAAATTCCATTTACAAGACAATTATTTATAATAAAATTCTATTCAATTGGGATACTCATAACGATTGAAAACAATGTTTTTGTTTGAGTTTGACCAATTCGTAAAAAAAAAAAAAAAACTAATTAAGACATGCGTGTCCATCAACCTTAAACAATAATCTAACGATCTATACTGATTATACGAATACAAACATTGGATAAATTCTTTATCTTTAGGAAAGATAATGAAATCTAAACATACACAAGTCCTAACTAAAAATAATAACCGAACGGGAAACTACTTTAAATACACATGGTGTCCAATTTTTTACTGTATTCAATAAGTAAAAATCATAAATTGTAAAAGATTATTATTACAGAAAGGCTACTAAATGAATAAGATTTGTTAGATCATAATTAATAAACCCAAATAAAGTTAATATTTTTTGTATTAGAAACGAGTGGAAAATATATTCAAATCAGAATTCTAATTATGAATCACCACAAGCAAAATATGCAATGTTTTTTTACTGTATTCAATAAGTAAAAGTCATAAATTGTAAAACTAAAAGATTACAGAAAGGCTACCTACATTTTTCAACCGATTTCAACAAAACTTCACTTTTTTTTTTGGCATGTAGTGTTTCTTATTGTCTTGCACACTTTTTTTTTATTTTTACATTCAGAATGCTTTAAAAAATTCCATTTACAAGACAATTGTTTATAATAAAATTCTATTCAATCAGTAGACTCATAACGATTGAAAACAATGTTTTTGTTTGAGTTTGACCAATTTGTAAAAAAAAAAAAAAAAAACTAATTAAGACATGCGTGTCCGTCAACATTAAACAATAATCTTTGTCAATTTTATTTTTCAGTCTTTATGATGGTGGATACTTGATCTATCTCTTAATGTCATATCCCCGGGCAACGCCGGGCTCTACTGCTAGTAATATATAAAACAGATGCTAAATCAAAGTTCTTACCTTCCAATACCATTTTGGTAGCAATGGCGCATGGTAGGCCAACCATCTTGGCCATTGCTGAAAACCCATCATTTTCTCCATATACACACATTCCAACATTCCTTGTTATTGAACTTTTGTCGGGCCAGGTGACACCTACTTGATGACGCATTAGCAAAACATCCCGTTCATGTTTTTCTACAATGGAATTAAGACAAAGAAATGCATTCATTATTATAGAAATGAACAAATATTTGGGACAGTTACAGGAACATAGACAATCACCAGGCCAGCACTAGAAAAGTTTTCAGATAAGGTGCAGCATGTTCATGACCAAGAACTCTACTTAAAAAGCAAGGAAAGATATCAGTTATGCACATGTTATTGACCACTGAACTGGTACATTGAGAGTAAAGTCCAAAGGTTGTAGGTTTTTTTCCTTCCCTTATGCAGATGCCCACTCATTCAGTTTGTGTCCTGACTGTATGACCAACCTGGGGAGATCAAAGTTTAGGTCCTGGAACTTCTGCAGGAATTTACATAGGATTTTTTAAGGACCTGCAGCCTGAGGTTTTACAATGGTAGAGGTCTCTAAGTGTAAATCATCATTGTGGCTTCATTTTGAAGGCAAAGATTTCAAAGTAGAATGCATGTCTGTTGCATGTATGCTGGTAGCTGATGAAAGCAAAGATAAAACTTCTTTTACATTGGATGCAGGTGTGAGACTAGCAAACAATAGAATCTGGCTTGAGTTTCTACCTCAGAGACAGGTGTGCAGGCTTGCAACATCAATCTTCTCTTATAGGTGTCACCAATAATAGAGTTAATTGAATTTGTATGATCTGAACCAAAATTCAACAGAAAACTGTAGAGTGTAAGCTATTTGGTTAAGATTCCTGTAACATATTCATATGAGAGAGATTGCTATGTTTTTTTTTCACTAAGCTAAGAACAAAGGGGATTTCCCAGAAACTAAAATAGCATTGCAGGTTAACAAGTATTAGTCACAGTAGTGTGCAGAGAACAAAATGAAGATAAGTCACAAATTTTAAGAACATAGACATTACAATATTAATACCATTTAGCTCTTAATGGATAAAGTAGCAAAGAAAAAAGTTAATTAATGTTCTTTACAATGAAACATGTTATTAATGTATACATTTTAAAATACAGTTCATTGTAATAAAATAATTTATTTCATGCATTTATTCCTTTTGTATAAAAATCGCTTTGAGTATTTTGAGTTTTTGCTTACAGTGTATAGCTTACTCTATAGTATTTTTGTATTATCTAATATTATTTATCTATGTTGTCACATTTTAGTTGTTTGTGATATGATGATCAATAGATACTGGAACTGTACTAAGTTTGCTTAGGGGCATATCAACATCCTTATGGGTCATTTAATGCAGACATTTAATTTTCTTGGGAGTATTAGTAATTTCTTTTATGAAAGTTTTACAGTTTGGGTATTAACTATTTGTCTATAGATGGGACCTTGACAGGTGCTACCACCGTGGGTCAGGGTGGACCTGGGAACAACGACAATTAAGAGGTAGTTCCATGTTCCTTAAAAGCTCTGAAGCCTTGCTGCCAGACATAGTTTATTGTCATACCCAAGACAGCTGAGATAAATTAACCTAAGAGAGAGTGAGGTACATTGACAAGCAGATTTAAAAAAAAAAAAAAAAAAAAAAAATTTCCAAATGTAAAATATATGTTGATGATGTAATGTTCATATTAACAAAATAAAAAGTGGTCAATAAAACCTGGTAGAAACCTGCTGTACCATTTATGGACTTGACATCAATAACAGAATCTTCCTCCTTGACATTTTACTACTCATAAAATCTTTTACTACTTCACCGTCTTAAAAGTAACCAACAAGAAAAGACTTGTCAATTACAAATGTGAATACTCTAATAGATATAAAATAGATGTTATAAAGAACATGATTAACTGATCTAAAGTAATTTCTTCACACACATTATTTTATAAAGAACTGAGCAGTTTAAAACACTTATCAACAATTACTTCCCCAGTCATATCATCAACAGGCAAATAAATTGAGCTTTGAGGAATCTAAAAAATTAATGCAAAAATCCTGACAGAAACAAAAACATCATTAACTTATTTGATTGTAACCAAATGCAATCTAATTACAGAGATGAAATAGCAAATTTTCCAGTATATATTTAAGTTGCAATCATAAGATTTAACATTTGCTATAAAAAATTTAAAACATCTAACCTAATTGTCGAAATAAGAGATGGACTGCAACACTCCTTTACGACACTGTATTCATTTACAGCCCATTCTCCGGATTACAATAGTCAGCCATATATGAGAATACCAGGAGCACGTGTGATGTGAAACCTGCTTGTATTTTGCCAAATAAAGCTTGGATGGACTTATCTTCAGAGTCTCAGTCTTCATTCTTGACACTAATTATTATCAAGAATTTGGTTTTGGTTGGGTATGTTTTACTGCATATCAACCTCAATGGGTTATTTAATGCCGAAAAAATTTTCATTGTTGGTAATATTTTTTTTTCTAATAATTCATTTCTGGTAAAATATTTTCCTTCAAAAATCTATTTTCGGTAAGAATTTTCCTTTGCTGGTAATATTTTTTTTTCCAAAAAATTTATTGCTGGTAATAATTTTTTTTTTTTACAAAGTATTTCTGGTAGTAAAACCTATTTTTACACTTTCATAATGTTTTGACCCCAGTTTGGGGTGGGAGGGGTTAACTAATTTGCTTACAACTGGGACCTTAACAGGTGCTACCACCCCGGGTCAGGGTTGACCTGGGAACATCAGTAATTAAGAGGTGGTTCCACGCTCCTCAAAACCTCCCGATCAGAGGACTTCTGTTGGATGTAGTTTATCATCTTACCCAGGACATGGATGTAGTTTATCATCTTACCCAGGATGCCCAAGAATTTGGAACCTCAAAAATCTCCCATATATAAAAACAATGTGGTTTATGAATTCTTGTGTCATTTGGGAGATTACATCTCCAAAAGTCAATAATTAAAAAACATTAAATTCTTATACTGGTCACATAACCACCACACTCTTATGAGTTAATTTGTCACTTAGCACAATTCCTGTACATACTGACTATCCCATCACAAAAAACCAAAAGACAACTATTGACAAATATTAGTAAATACCAATACTGTAGATAAAAAACTCAAAATACTATTATTATACAGCTGAAAAACATACATTAAATACCAGAGATGATATTTTAAAATGCATATAAAATATCTGAAATAGATATAAAATATATAAACTTTAAGGTTATTAACATTAAACTAATGAAGCTAGTGAATAATTTATTTTCATTCAATCAATTTAGATGATCTACTAAAAATAACAATCCTTACGAAATGAAAGCCTTTTTGCCAGATAATGAGACAAGGTGTCAATAGGTGTTCCACGTTTATCAATTAGTTCATCTTCCAAAAGTCCCAGACTGAAATAAAAGAAAATAATTGTTTCTTTTTACACAAGAACAAAAATTTTATGACATGCATTATTTATACAATTATTTTTGTTGTTTTTATTTATTATTATTTATTATTTTTGTTTCAACTGTTTTCTTTTGCTTTCTTCAGAGGGATGTTACAAGGAAAATCTTCATAGAAACAGCACTGCAAGCATTTTATAAAGCATTTGTATGTTATGCTAAGTTGACCAATAAACATAATTGCTTAGTGGCAGAGAACTTATATCCTGTTGATATCAACATGTTCAAACTCTGAATTTATCTCCATATCTCAAAATGAGTGTTTGCTCATGTACTTAGGAATGGTAAGGCATACTTCACTTATGTCAAGAGTTAAATTTTCTTTAGTACTTCATGATCTATATATAGACCAGTAGACATTAAGTTCATTGTTAAAAAAAGAAAGCAAACTTGTATTCTGTTTATCAATCAGGAAAACCACTTTTAAGCTAAGTGTGCTTTACCATTAGGCTATGGGAAACCATTAAATCAAAGTAAGTCTCAATTACTATTTAAGAAATATTGTGATGGTTTGTCATGGCCTTATGGTAAAGCTTAAAAGTGTCTTACCAAATTGATAAGAATATATATTTGATTCCAGTTGGATGGAATATTTTTATTTAATAGGATTCTTGACTAGCAAATCGGAAGTGGATTAAATAATTTTCTCAAGTAAAAACACTAAAAGATAATCTCAAAAAAATAAAAAAAATACTATAAACTTTTTACTTGAGTGAGTATAAGATGCAGTTAAAAAAAAGCAGAGAAATTCCATTGAGATTATTTTCATGTATAAAACACTTGATTTTAGAGCAAAGAAAATGCCCAAAACTTGTAAAAATAACACCCCCTCCACCAAATTACATTTTGTTTACTTTTGTGATTTGTAAGCATCACAAAAATGTAACATTGACTCTCGAGGTATAAAACCACTAAATTGCAAATACACATTGAGAAAATAAAAATGAAAAATTACTAACTTGCTGGTTTGTTTTGGCTTTATGTAAGATTTATTTCCCTTTGTTGCCATACATCATTAGATACATAGATATTTCCCTGGGAAACAAATAAATTCAATTTGACCTGATTTTGTCTGTTTTGACTCCTGGAAAAAATAGAATTGAGTTCTAAACTAAGGTATAACACACAGTAGACACTAGTTTGGATGAAATAAACCTGTGTCTTATACACACAAGATTATGGTATATATTTTCAGAGGAGGCAAGCCTTCCCCTCTAGAAAGATTAGTATACCATAATCTTCCCATCCATTTTTGGCATCTGTGTCAGATTAAGGAAAGCTTAGTAAATAGAGTGTAACCCGGATATAAGAGAGATTTTCTCTGGTCCCAAATTAGAGCCTGTGTTAATGTAAACAAAATAGACCAAACCCGGATATAAGAGAAACCCGGATATAAGAGACTTCTTCTCCAGTCCTGACAACTCTTATATCCGGGTTACACTGTATTTATGTGGATGTATGTCTGGAATGCTACAAACTAACTGACTTTTACTGCAATGATATTTTAAATATTTTTAGAATCTAGAAAACAGCCAAATGAAATACAAGTCCCATCCTCTGGCTGATGAAAATGCAGCCCTAAATCTGACATCTCCAGAGTCGTTTGAAGTTCATTGTAAGAAACAGAAATAAATCTATAACTCTGCTCCTACAAAGGAAAGAAATTAATAATAAGGATTGTATCACTTACTCTTCAATACATTTGAGCCTCTCTTGATTGCATTCCAAACGCCCATAAATCAAATCCTTCAAGGAATCCACAAGAATGTCTGGTGATTTGCCCATCAATTCACTCAAATAGGCTTTCTAAAAAGTAGAAATAATATCATTTTTATTTGTTTGTTTATAGTAAAATGTGTACAATAAATTCTAAGTGAATATTTATTGAATTTGTAAAGCTATATATCTACTAACAAAAAAATATTACTACTATCTAATGCACTAGTATTTTTTTTCCAAGGAAATAATATCTTGCTTCTGCCATTTCAATCCTTTTAATTGTTAGCAAACCCAATCTGAAGAGACTATATTTGAGGGGGTTTTAAAAAAATGAAAAACAAAAATGAAGGTAAGCTCTTTCCATTAATTTTCCCAAAACAGGGTGGGGTTGAGATGATTTAAAAAAAAAAAAAGAAAAAAAAAGAAAAAAAAAGAAGTACCTCTTGTATTTTTTTTTTAACAGTAAGGTTTACTTTTTATTAGGCTCGGGGGTCACTTGAAGTAAAGGGTTACATTAGGAGGCCATTTATGTCTATAGGAGTGGAAAATAATGGCTAACCCTAGCCTTGAACAGGTTAAGATTGTAGTGATCAAAGAAACATCCTGTTGGGGGTTGGTTCCACAGGGTAGTAGTTTGCAGCATACCAAGTCAGTGATGATGGAATGTAACTAGCTTGGTTTTTGAGGCACTGAATGTAACCAGACAGTTTTTCCATCACTGGGTAGTTTGTGCAAGATTGGAAGATAAATCAGTCGCCAATCTCTGACCGTTGAGAGTTTTAGAGGTACACCCACATATAGTCATATTATTGGCATAGATGTTTGTAAATGAACTGAGTATATTCTTAGGCAGATCATTTATGTAAATCAAAAAGAGGGCTGGTCCGAAAAGTGACCCCTGGAGGATGACTGCATTGACCGCTAGGGCTCTAGAGGACTACCTATCTTCAGGAAGGATTTTATGATCAAGAAGACCCTTCCAGTGATTCCATAACTGGAAAACTTGTGTAGTAAACCTTAGTGCCACACCTTGTCGAAGGCCTTTGAGATATCTAATGCTATGGTTCTCAAGATGTGTTTGTCATCAAGAGCCTCAATGATTTTGTGAATAATGGTAGTTAGGATGTCGGCAGTGGATCGTTGTTCTTTTCTAGGTGCACGATGACCTTATTATTATGGCTTCAAAAAGCTTACTGCTGAGACTGATGGGTCTGTACTGGGAGGGAGAAGATTGCATGTTTGTGTTCTTAAAAGTCAGGCATATGCTTGACACCTTCCATTGGCTTAATAGGAAGTATTTCTCCTTCAAGTAGCAGTTGAATAACTTTGCTAGGATTGGGGATAATTCCGGGTTGATATTCTTAAGGACAACCACTGGAATTTTGTCTGGGCCACCAGTAGCTTTCTTAGGGTCAAAGCCTTTGATAAGTCTAGTGCTGTAATGGTAATATTACTGAGATTGTGCTCAGTGAGATGTTTGAAGTTGGGGAGCAGATGGTCTAACACTGAATTAGAGGCAAAGATCTAGGCAAAGAAGTTTGCCTTGTCTGTTGAGGAAGATATGACCTCGGGACCATTTATAATTGTGGGCACGGCCGTTTTACCTCTGATTTGATTGGTTGATCTTCCAGAATTCACAGGATACAATTTGTTTCTTTTAATGAGATCCAATTTATTTCTTTTCAACCTCAATCTAGTCTGCTTGTGTGTAGTTGCACTTGTTGTTTCTAAAACTTTTTTGCAGTGATTGTGAGTAGTTCTGAATACAGTAAGGGACAAATTACATCGTTCTTTGCTATAGATATTGAAGTAGTGGTTTCTGTGAATTATGGCTGCAGCGCATTAAGAAGTGTACCAGGGCTGACTGTTTTTTGCTGAAATTTTTGTTTGGGTATAAAACTCTCCATTCTAGAAAGAATCTAATCAGTGACAAGGGCAGCAGTTTCGGAGGCAACATTCTTGAAGAAGGTTGGGAGGAGGGAGAGCTACAAGCATGTAGGATTGAAAGCTGTCCCAGTGTGCCTTTGCCTTGTGAAAAATCGTTCTATGGAATGATACATCAGGAGATGCCATAGTTTGGCATCAACGTGGATAGTGATTTGGGAATGGTCTGATGTGTTGTTGGCGGGGGAGGGGGGGTCTTTTGCTAAGCATTTATCAGGGCAGGGAGATAGAAAGAGATCTAGGAGATTTGTCTGATGTCCCATCGCATCCAGGACACAACTAGGTTCTTCAATGCTCTGGGTTAGTTCATAGGCAATGGAGGAGGAGGAAGAAGAAGAAGAAGTCTTTATATTTTAAATGTGTTCCTGTCTGGCAAAAATATGTTATTGGATTACTCACCCAAGTAATTGGGGGTCCATTTTCATGAAGGCGAGCATCATGTTCTGAATTGATTAAGCCAAGTTGTAGCAAAGCTTTGGCACCGTTGGAAAATCCCTAAAAGAGATGAAAGGTTAAAAATACCATCCAGCAATTTTGTATTATCCACATATATAAAACATATTGCAAATATATATTTCTTTAAAATTTGTTGTACTTTTTACACTCTGCTTCAAAATAAATATCTGAGTCACTCTAAATGTTGTCTGGATGTGAGCACTAAGAAAGCAAAACCAAAAATAAAAAACATCACATCCAGCCCACGCAACAAATACCATCAAGAAATATAAAATGCAACATAAAATAAACCAATCATGAATGTTGCCACCAAAGGAAAAACATGAACAAGTGATGAGTATAGGAACTACTAGATTTGCTTTTAAGATCACTCATAACAACTGAAATAGATTCACAGCAAACAGGTAATCTTCGACTAATCTAACATCAGCCTCTCTCAACATCACCACCAAGACGTTAGTCAACAGACACATCAACTTACGGCTCACTCATAATGGCTGAAATATGCAATGAATTGGCAAACTTCAGCTAATCAAACACCAGCCTCTCTCAACATTACCACTGTGACGTTGGTCAACCAACCCGACACCCACATCAAGTCCAGCTCTACCGTTCCTCCAAGTTATTTCCCTTGCTTTCAGAGACATTCTGCTAACATCCTCAGTATCAGTAACACAAAGAATTTTATATTAACAATTTTTATCTTTATCTTTCATCTCACCAGTTGTAGTTGTTTTATTTGTTCTCTCATGCTACTAATACATGTGTTTGTAGCATATTTATGGGGAAAGAGAGCATTTAACACTTTTCTACAACACCAGAAGAATCAACTCCATAAACATAGTTGAATTGGCCACCTATGTGGCTTTTGTGAGGCAATCTAAAAGCCATCAAATGTTTATACTAAAAATATTCTGTTATTTTTATATTGCAGTTGTCTCTGTAGATAAATAAACTTTTAAAGTAAGACATCACTAAATAACAGTATATATTAAAATTAGTGTGTTTTATGGCTTTTATTTATAGCTCAGGGACAAGGCAGAGGATTAAGTGTTATTAGTTTTACTTTAATATTCATAATGTACTGAACATAAAAACAAAAATGCAGAGCAACAATTCAAAATGTTTTATATAAGTACAATACAATTGCAAAATTATTTAAACTAGCAGTACCCATGAAAATTTATTTACTTATTTGAATTATCTGAGGAGTCATAATTCTTAATTTATTGACTGACTATGTTCCTTGTGAGTATCACAATTATAAAATATGTGGAAATTCCCCTGTCCATCATTAAATATTTGAGCTTTACAAATTCAAAAAAAACAAAAAAAAATAAAAAAAATAATGTGATAATTGTAAGTATGAACGTAGGTAAGTACTTGATTCCCCATGTTAATCCTTTACCTTTATAAGCACCAGATCAGGCCAAAAATGGAGTACTGTTGCCATCTTTGGAGAGGAGCTACCGGACTTCACTTTCCAGTCTTGATAGAATTCAAAAGTGTCTCTGAGTCCTTGTTAGAAAAGAATTATTTTCCACTCCCACCTCTCTCTTACAGGTGGGATATGGTGAGTCTCTCACTGCTCTATCTATTATAGAAAGTGCTCAGACAAACTGTATCTCCTGGTTCCACCAGGTCTGACCCTCACAGCAAGGACCCACCATGCCACTTTCATAATAGTGGCAAACCATTCACATTTCCCCACTGTTTGAGTGAAACTTACTTCTTGCTGTTCATGGCAAGAAGTAAGTTTCATTCAAACAATTTCTTCCCATGAACCACTGTCCTGTGGAACAGACTCCCAAGAGGATGTTTCCCCCAATCACTACAATCTTAACCTGTTCAAATCTAGAGTCAACTGTTATCTTCCCCTCCTATCCATATAAACTACTCTTTATTGTAACCCTTTACCATGAGTAGACCCCAGGACTTGTACAGGGTGAACCTTACTGTAAAAAAACAAAAAACAAAAAAAACAAAACAACAAAAAAAAACATGTTTTTATAAACAAAAGTATTTGCTCTTTTTACATTAACACACTAATTTTGAATAAAAAGAAGGTTAACATTTAATCCCTGGCCAGGGAGTGTGTACTTGGAATTAATGGAAACAGAGCAAGCAATAAGTGAACAGTACTAGAAATAAAAACTAGACAAGATGTCCCAGTGAAATGAAAGTCTACCCTCGGAGAGTAAATAAAAGGTTCAGTTCAGAATTCCCTGTAGGCTATGCACATTAATGTACACCTGATAAAGGTTGGAGGGCACAACAGTTGAAACATTGCCCAATTGTTTCTTTTCTCACATGTCTTGCCTGTGGAAACCCTTTCCATTTACTTGCTTCCTTGATAGTTACAACCTTCAAAAATTTGAATGTAACTTCAATCACCATCTATCTTCTTGAATCCCATTCATCTTTTGTCCTTTCTTCAATCACCCCTACACTCAGTCTTTCCTTTCACTTTCACTCCCTGTAAACTCCTGCATATAAAGTGTCATTTCTGCTTTTCTTGGGGGAAAAGATTAAAAAAATAACAACAAAGAGGAAGACAATAGTCTGAATGTAAATAATGATAAAACTCATCTCAGAAACTCAGACAAAAAATTATTTTTCTTTGTTCATTAATTTGAAGTGCTATAAATTTGGAAGATATAAATATAGGTCAAGAAAAAAAGTTTAACAAAAAAAGAAAGAGTTATTTTGTCTCTTCTATACATCCATACATGACATAAGTTAGCATTTAAACTGACAAACCAGGTATGAAGAAAATAAAATAACTGAATTAGCATAAAACATCTGTGTTTTTGATGACCTGGCCACATGTCTTGCATTTAGTTTACACTCATCTTACTCTTAATTTTTTATTAACACATTTCAGCAAATACATTCTTCAAGCACCCTTCTGTGTTGTTGTTGGGGGGGTTAACTTTTTTTATACATCATAATTAACCTTGTAATTTGTCTGTTTTAACATACTTTCAACAAGACCAAGATATCTGCTTCAAGTTGAACATGATGCACTGATGTGTTTTGATAAAAAAAAAAAAAAATAATGAAAAAACAAGTAGAAAGTGAATTTTAAAAAGCATACATGTACCAGAGGAAGGCTGTAGAATATATCAGCCAAGATATGAACACAATAGTGTGAAGAACATGAGATAATGGAAATATTTTCTCCTAGAATTTTACAAAGTAACAAGAACAATAATAATAGTTGGACTCTAAATAATATATGTAATCTCAGAAATGCTTTATGACAGAACTACAGAAAACAATTGACTCTTAGTTTTCAAATCAATTTCTAAACTCTTAAATAAATATGAATAATAACATTGAATGAATATTCAATGAAAAATAATTGTTATAAGTATTTCAACACTGCCAAGCCCCCTTTTGTAATAATCAAATAATAAATAAAATGGCTTGGAAAGATTTGTATTTGCTTGATTTTAGTTACCCCCCTACAGTACTGTGGGGGTTTTCAAAACATACCATTTCAAATATTATATATCATTTAGTTATTAATTTTCTTGTTATATATTGTATTGAGTGTTCCTATTGTTTTTTATAGGATAAAAACAGGTTTTATTTTGAAAATAGAATTTTTGAAAGGCTAAAATTTAAAAAAAAGTTTCTTGTTTATCATATGTGACCATAAACGCAAAATAAGGAAACTATATGGATGAAAAATTACAAGTTATTTACAAAACTAATGACTTAAAAAAACTATATGCTTGCTTATTATTGCATGAGACCAGTTTAAAAGGTATATCTCAAAATGTGATAAAAATAGAAAAATCACTAATTGTACTACATAAAATATTTCTGCACCCCTAATGTATTAAAACTACTTGTTATTCACACAAATACTATGACTAAAAGTAAAAAATCCTTGTATTCAGAAAGCTACTTGACTAATCTGGAAAATGTGACTTTCCACTTGCTAAATATAAAGAAAAAGAATTTTGTGAGATGTTCAAATACCTGATGCCATGAATGGAAGGTTAAGCAAGGCAGATAATTTTATAATGTAATCAGTATTTGGACATTTTCATTGATTTTTATCAAGAATTTCATTGGAGTCTATGCCATCAGCCTCACATCTTCATGTGACTGATATCAAGTAATTTCAAATGCTTTAAAGCCACACATTCTAAATACATCGATAAAATTACAATTCTGAGCTCAAACCTGAAAATATGGATGCATTCTGCTTTTAGTCAATAATTTCATTATTTATTTATTTTTTTTACACAAATAATAAATTAAACCTGCAATATATAGCTAAAAAAAAAAAAAATGTAACTCAATATAAAATTTTTTACTTACACTGTATCGGATGGTACCTCTGAGACAAGTTTGAGCTTCAGTTATGTCATATAAATCTAAATATTTGGTAGAGTCCCTATTAGGGAATCCTTCAATGTTGAAGCCTGGCAGGAAATCAAGTTTACGAACTGCTTCAAGTAAATGGCCACCGGCATTGATTTCAACAACCTGAAAAGAAATATTGTATTAAATGAAGCCTAATTTTTCTTTATTTATATAACTTTAATTTTATTTTTGTTATTCGAGAAAATAAAATTCTTTTCATTATTCAAAGCATTAAATTGTAGTAAATTAATTTGTGTTTCAATATACATTGTAAAGATGCCCTGAGGTGCACCATTAAGGACATTAATACTGGGTTCATAGTTTCATGTCTTTCAACATCACACCCAGCTGATTTTGCCATTGATTATCAGATGACAATAGGAGCCAACTATGTTTAACCATTGGTGCATTGCATTAATTCAGCCAAAAATAATTGTAAACAAAAATGGCACCAATTTGTAGTAACAATAGTAGTCCTTCCCATTTGTCTTGTCTATAATATGGCATCAAATGTTTAGTTTTCTTATGATATACTTTATGGATGTCACCTGAGTGCTTTCATATAAATTTATTTTATACTTTAAATTTGAGCCTTTTCATAGTATTATGATGCATCAAAATTATCAGGTTGGAATGAAAGTTCTGTCTGATTTTATCATGTATACTGCAAATGAAAATGCTAAGGCTTATAGAAATATTAAATCATCAATATAACCTCAATTGCTTCTGTGAACCTCATTCCACCTGTCAGCAAGTTTATAAATGCCATGTTTCTAAAATTCTTTAGCTTTTAAGGTAAAATATGAGACCAAATCATGTTCAACCTCTTCTCTTGATGTCAACCTTCGGCCATCTGAATGATTCTATAAACCGCTAAGTACTTATAATCAGAAAGAGCAAGGTTGGAGAACATGGAGTATGAAGAAATTTTTCTCAACCAAGCTCATCTAAGAGTTCTTTAATCAATCATGCAGTGTGAGGACGGGCATTATTGTAATAGAGGATTATTCGCTTTCTAATGACTAAGGACGGATGTTTTCTGTCTAAAGTTGCTTTCAAAATGTTGAAGGTATTGCCAGTAGAGATCAGCATTATTTGATTATTGTCTAACAATTGATATTGGAGGATTTTTTCAATATCCTACCATACATGATCTTTGGAAGAAGTTCTCTTCTGTTGTTGTGAAAAAAGTTTGCACAAATGTACATGCCAAATGAAGCAAAAATATAAGAAAATTCATTTTTTAAAGGGTAGTTTTTATGCTTATTTTTGCTTTAATTACATACAAAAGCCATAAAAATATTTTCACTCTTTTAGATTATAAAAATAAAAAAAATGTTGCGTTCCTAATTTTCTTAGCTGTGCTTACTGTTGGTCAGGGGGCCCCATCTTCCTTCCATGCCTGTGTAGGTATGCCAGGTCTACTGCCTTCAGGGCCTAAGTAAGGGGATCTTATAACTTAACTAGCACAGGAATTCATTTGTCTGAAATCTGATGCTGCTTCTGATAGACATATGTGCACAATAATTTTTTTCTTTTACTAAAAAACCTTTATCTTTCTCTTCTCAACCTGTAAATCAAGAATTTCTTAAACTAAAGAACATATGGATGTTAAAGTTGTGGGTTTTGTGTATACTTTTAGGTGAAGGAGTGTGTTTGATATGTAAACAAATGAGATAGAAGATGCATACAAAAATGTATGTTCCTGCTATGGACATTTATTCCTTTTAAGTTAAAAGATCTCTTGAGTATGTCTGGTTTCCTTTTGGTTCTGAAATAATTTATGAAAATAAGGATATAAATGGGTAAAGCTGTCTGAAGTCAAGTCAGCTTTATGTTGGGTTGGGAAGAACAAACTTCTACTTCATGAGTAAAGGCAAAATGAAAACATATTCCATCAATGTCATTTGTAAGTGGAAAAAAGTTCAGTCATCAGTGAACCAGAGAAACTAAAATTCCCCAGCAGGATTGGCTATTACTGTGTGGTCCATATCTTACTATGCTTACATGTTCCCTATATTTGTTCTTTATGATCATCGTAACACAACCTGATTGACAGTTTACACACCAATGCTATATAATAACAAGTTTGTTGTTACTAATAATAGAACAGTTGTGTTTTATTACTTTTTAGTATTTGTGTGTATAAATAAGACATTTTTATCCTATTAAATCTAATTTTTCTCTAATGTATAAATATCTTTTTGCAAATGTGGATAAATTGGGCAAAATTCATGTTATGTAGTCCCATTCTTTTAACTACACTCAACCAACTAACACCTTACATAAGACTAATGTTGTTTATGAATATAAAGAGAAAAGAGAGAATGTTAAGATGCTGTCATATAATAGTACAATCAAGTGTCCATATAGAAATGATGTATATGCACACATACACACATAGGATCAGTGTTTCTCAATTGTTGTGCTTAGGCACACTAATGTGCCCTGAAAGATATCCAAGTGCACCCCAAATTAACAGTAGAATAATTTATGAATTATTTTTATATTTAAAAATTTTTTTCATTTTTAAAAAGTTAAAATCACCAAGCACATGGCTTTCATAGCTAAATCTTTGTCGTCTGATATTTTAAACTAGATGCTAAATTCTTTAATCCTTAAGGAGGAGTGGATAATCCTTTCCTGTTTACCTTTCTCAGAGAATTTAAATTAGTCATTATTGGCCACTCTAAAAAAAAAAAAAAAAATAAAGTAGCAGATTCTTCATAAATCCCTTTAAATGAAAACTGTACCACTAATCTTTTTGTGGAGTGCTAAACCAAAACTTCATATTTTCAAATATCACGACTAATTTTTCCTTATTAAAATTTAAGTGCAAGTAAAAAATGTTTGAGAAACACTGCATAAGAAAAATGTAAAAAACAAACATGATTTATTCATTAACTTGGGTCTATTTGAAAGGGAGGTGGCAGAAACAGATGTGATCTTGAAACTCAATCACTCATTGTTGACTTCAATGTTATCTTCTTTTTTAGGATGCTTATAAAAGTATTCAGACATAACACTGATATTTGTTTTAAGTTAACTCAATCTTACCTGGCTGTCTTCCATATATTTGGCTCCAGCCAGTAAATTCATCAAGACACCTTTGGGAAACCAGCTGAAACAAAGATCAGAAATATAAGAGATTGGGAAGAGAAATATTTTGTGATACATTGACTGTTGCATAATGCTCATATAGTTCATAATGGTGCTAAAACAATTCTTCACCATTTGTTGTGGGTCAGTTGCTTGTGAAGTCAGTCTAATATTAGCTATAATTGATTTATGATTGTTGGTTTGAATAAAAATTAGTGGATCAATATAATCACCTGCAAGCTCACCATTTAAGAGAAAAGAAATATAAATAAACAATATATATAAAAATATCTGTTGTTTTTTTAAATCTAGTGCTCAATGTATAATGGTTAGTGCTCAATCAGCACCTGACGATTGTGTTGTGCATGAAAATCAGTGTTGTGCTACCAGTAGGGAAAAAATAAGTGGAAAATGATAAGATTTGAAAATGCACCTGATGTTTTATATATTTATATACAATATTTATGATACATGTAGGCTTGTAGAAAAAATATTAATTTATTAGAATTGTTTTACTTTAGTGGTTTTGCTATGTTGCTTTTCAGAAGTTTCTTTGGTAGTTTTTAAATTCTTATTCAAACTTATGTTAAGGAAAATACAATCTATATTGGGGACATAAATTTACTATTGAAAATTTTTTCAGCAAACTTGGATAGTTTTTCCCTTGACACCAGTATTATTTTAACTACCTTCACTCCTTGGCAATGTTTATTGCTTTAAAAAAATGATCATTAAAATTTTAATATAATCAAAACATGATGAAAGTGAATTTATAGATTTTCTTTGTTCTTGAGAATTGACAATAAAAATAATAAACACTATATATTTGTTAGATTGTTTATTGGAATAATTGGCAAGATATTGGCTAATTACCAATTGATAAATAATAAGAATTTCTTTATAGTTCATTGACATATTTTAATAGTTTAGTAAAGGTTTACAAATTAATGTATAAAAAATTGTTTTCATATTAATTTCTTTATAAATTGGTAATTGATAAATATTGCATTGCCTTAGTTTTAATCGTATTAGTTTTTAGAATGTCGTAAATATAAAATTCTTTTTGTAAATAATTGTCATAATAATCTAAGTCATTCAAAGATGAATAAATATTATGAGAAGACTCATCCTTTCTTAAACCCTTTTATATTTTTGTTTAATTCAATTGCTATACATATACCAGTGGTTTGCTTAGAGTAGAAATTCTGGATTATTCTAACATCTTTTTCCAATGAATCAAGTTTTCTGAGCAGTTGAAATAGAAGTTTGTGCCATCCTTTATTAAGTGTTTTTGCATAGTCTATGGGTGCTTCATATTTCTTTTGCACTTTCTAATAATTTTTGTACAATAATGAGGAATCTGAATCTCTTCAATAGAATACAAAAATCAATATTCTAATGTCTTAGGTCTTGGTGCAAGGAGTGGATTAAGACCATGCTCTCAACTTGTTGGGGGTCATGCATAAATGGGTTAAAATAGATGAATTGATTGAAATATAAAAAAATATGCCTCACCTGAATTTGTAACGAAGTGGGCATTCAGAGAATTCTGGAGCAGGTAAACCACCACACCAAGATACAAAAGAAGTTACCTGAAAGAAAGAGAATTTTACCAGTTCAGCAAAAAAGAAATTTTTATATATATGACAATGGTTAATAAAACATCAGCCTTTGATAAGTAGACACAGATCTGACAATTAAATATTCCCATAATTCCAACAATGCCTCTTTCCCCATGCAGTACATTTCATCTCTGAATGACAAATTCATTTCCTCTCTTACCAATGTCAACAGCCTCTCCCCAGGTGTTTAAGCCTTTCTGTGCTTTCTTAAGGAAATCTTTTAATCACTTGTGGGGGTTTGCATTGCAAGTGCTTGACCCCCATAAGTTCTTTGTAGAGAGCTAGTTTGCTTGGGCAGTCTTATCTACCAAGCAGACTGATTGCTTATACCAGCATTTTTCCAACATTTTTTTTTATTGTGACGCACAGAAAGAACCACATTTTATATTGTGAGTCATTATACCTACATGTAATACATCAAAGACAAACTGTTCACTAGGTTCATTTATTTAGCATCAACAATTTATATGTATATTTCTTATGATCCGCACATATTGGGATTGCGTGTATCTATTTGTATGAATATAAAATTATTACTTTTAGAAAAACAAATTTGAAAGAAATTGCGATACAAAGGTAAAGTAAATAATATTTAATGAGATGGACGTGCTTGTTTGTTCATAAGCAGCTGATTCCAATTGAAAAGACAGGAAGAAAATGTAGTATGCATATCAGGGACAGTGTTGAGCCTGTTTCTGTTTTTTGACTTAAATTGAGTTAATGCAGAAAATCCCAGTTCACACAAGAGAGAACAGACTATATAATTATATTCTAAAAAAATAAAATATAATATGAGCTTACCTTGGTGAAAACTTGACATACTTTAAAAACATACTTTGATAGCAAGATTTCACTCAAATAAATTTTATTAAAATCAACCAACAAACAAATTGTTTAAATTTTTTTTAATTTTTTGTTTTAAATTGTTTAAATTTTTAAAATTTTTTTTTTTTTTAAATATTTTCCTATTTACATCAGATGATTTTAATAAAACTTGTTTGAACATACACAATGTCTGACCTCATTATTGGATCCTTGAAGATGATAAAATCCTTAGAAAACAATGAAACTTATACATACTGTTACATTAACCCCATATTTGTACCCTCACCTCAGATTTTATAAGTATATTTTCAGTACCTTTTGTATTTGCGACGAAACATATGAATCTTAACTTCTTTATTTCTTAAATATGCAGATTGTGAGATATATATTGTTTTTATAACCAGATGAGTCAGGGCCAGTTCTTGGAAAAGAACCATCCCTTCTATCCCCATCTCCTACCTGGTCCACTGTTTGACAGATAGGTGTGAATGATGTTAACCAGTTCCATAGTCGCTGGCCAAAACAAATGCTGTTTGACAGATAACTGTGGATGATATTAACAGGGTCCGTGAATGACGCATACCTTTTTTTTTGGGGCAACAAGTGACTCCAAAATATAGCAGTTTTCGTTTCGCACGTGTTGAGGTAACAACAACCACACATAGTTGCTGGCTATCAGAGGAGTCGGACGTCACCAAAAACCAGTCTTAGCTATTCGCCATTAGAAGAATTAGATGCCACCAAAAACCAAAGGACCAACGCGAGATTGTAGATCAACATCGTCAACCCAAGTCGGCTACATTCCCGTGATTTTTCTGTGTGTTCTCCTCGCCATCAACCCAGATTGGACGTCGCCAGTCAAAAATCCATGTTAGAACATTGTCAATCCCATCCATTACTTTCAAAGAAGTGTATAAATATCCTTTGAACAAATTGTACCCCGATAATAGTCACTCGACGTCGATTCCAACCTTATGTAAGTTTCTGCATGTTTTTCCATATCTTATAATCTGCTATTTCCGTATTTGTATGTATTTCGCCGCATTAATATTTGTTTAATTAGTAACTTATCTCCCCATCCCTTGTATTATATAGTTTTCTTTTTCTTACATTCACACTCCGTGTATTCTAGAAATAAAATCTTTGTATTATATATTCTCGTGTTGTCTTCTGTTGTTCTGTGTCTGCGAATTGTTCATTTTCTCTCTCATGTTTACCGACGTCTGGAATTGGAGAATTCCCCCAACGTTCTTTTCTTTTTAATTTATATCGAACCTTGGGATCTCTTACTTATTTTTTTTTTATTTTCTCGTTGCGTCCCAGCTATCGTAGTCCCAACGAAACCCCGGGCGTAACAATACTAAGTTACATCAAAAGATTTTTGCTATACAATAGATGATGGAGGAGTACCACCCACCTTCAATATACGACTGATGACAGAGGAGTGCCACCCACCTTTTTACATGGCAAACTGTAAAAATTGGATTAAAAACATGTCCTGAGATCCTTGCTTTTGCACAATATGCAAACTTGTATGCAAGTCACTATCATGACTGAAGTGACACAAACATAAAAACTGCATGAGGTTGTCAGATCCTTATACATCAAAATCGAAGGGAGAGTCCATCATATATATATATATATACATATATATATATATATAGCACACACACAAAATGAGAAAAAAAAAACTAACACCAATAATAAGACCTCCCAACGTGCATAAATTAATTACATCAAACTTAGTATAAAGATGACAAAAAATAAGGAAAACAGTAGTCAATTGCTGAAACCTCCTAATGAGTGGACTGAACAATTATGGAAAAGTTTGTCTATGAAACTCTGGAATCAAAGTGCTGAATATAAAATGAATCAGCTAAGTGACAAACTTTTTATAGTATTAAACCAATATGAGATGCTGAAAATTTCTTGGCTTAACCCAAAATCTGAACAAATGATTAAACATTTATTTTTTTTTTTTTTTAAATCTTTTATTGGCTGGGCTGATACAACTTTATTGGTGTCTGTATGTGTATAATGGCCTACTACACACATTAAAAAACAAGAGTAGTGGGGGCCATTATACACCTACACCAGTCTGCTTGAGCAACTAGCCAATCCCTGTTGAAGAACCTACCTGTGGCTTATACAGCAACTATATTGAATGGACGACAGTTACACTTTCTGAGAGTGAGCAAGTAATTTGTCAGGGTCAGAAATTTCAACAATGCTACTAAGCTCAAACTCTTGGTCACTATGACTTGGGACTACATGTTAGAACAACCATCAATAGCTTTTGAACAGTGGTATCTAGCCAATTTTGCTCACAGGGTTTAGGTCAACATGCAGCGTAGTTTTCAAGCACTTTCCAAAGGTGCTACACACTGGGGTGCCTCTCCAGACCAATTAACATAAAGAAGTCACCTTCCTGACAAGTCAACTTATATATATATATATATATATATATATATATATAATGCATGTATGTACATGTACACACACACGTCACCCAATACAAAACGGACAAAGTCCAACAATTATTTTAATATATTTTATTGTTATACATTATTTATAGAGACCCAAATATTTAAGTAAATACTCTATTTATAATAAACAGTATTAACAACATTTACCTGCCTGAATGTCATAGAAATTTTCATAGAAAATGTGTTCTCCTACAGGAATCAAACCTGTATCCTACATGGAACTGTCATATAGCCTGACGTGCTATACCAGTTTAACTAGAGGAGGGTCTGGTTAGAAAGGTCAATTTTACTGCTGGTAAACTACAATTTTCCCTGATTTCCCTTGAACAATCATATCTGCTCAAAACATATCTAAATATAAACAAATGATGCCACACACTACGAAATGGGCAAGGTCTAACAATTATTTTAAGATATTTTATTGTTATACATTATTTATATAGACACAAATATTTAAGTAAATACTCTGTTTATAATAAACAGTATTAAGAATATTTACCAGCCTGAACGACAGAAATTTTCATAGAAAATATGTGTCATCCGACAGGAATCGGACCTGCATCCCACACAGAACTCCCATATAGTCTGATGTGCTATATCGTTTGATGGAAATCATGTGAAATTGTAGTTTAAAAGTAGTAAAATTGACCTTGCTAACCAGACGGTTCTCTGTAGCTAAACTGGTATAGCACATCAGGCTATAGGACAGTTCCATGTAGGATACAGGTTTGATTCCTGTCGGATGACACATATTTTCTATGAAAATTTCTTGGACATTCAGGCTGGTAAATGTTAATACTGTTTACTATAAACATATATAAACATTTACATAAATATTTCGTCTATATAAATAATGTATAACAATAAAATATATTCAAAACATACACTTATATATATATATATATATATATATATATATATATATATATACACACACACACACAGTCTTGGAATGTGATAATTTAAAAATCATAGCATCATTTGCAGGCTGCTTATGACAAATGTAAAGTCATTTTCAATGTTATGCAAATTATCTTTGGATAAATTTAACATTTCCTGTGCTGATATTTTATTGAATAAAATCTTTTTGTCTTTATGATTATGGCTTCAAGTATTTGTGGATTTTTTGTTTTGTAGTTTGTTGCACAAAGTTATGTTGCTGTGTGTATGGAAATAAATCAACACACGTGTCTATCTTGTTTCCCATGTTGATTGATATGATCTTTTATGATACTAATCTCTGATAACAGGCATGTTAGTTGATTTGACCTGTTAGTTAATTTTTGTAAGAAAGTGTGCTGAAATGTTCATAGTCTGACCCACATACTAAAATCTGACCAAATAACACAAAATCTGGGTAAGTCATTTTACATTCACAATGAAATGATAGATGAAAGTAACATGATGGTACAAAATGAAAAGGCAAATCCTGTTTGCAACATATTTAGTTGTTTATTCAGTGATTCACTTACAATGGTTGAGGTGGGAGGATAGGCAGGTGACAACAACTTTTGCTATTTGAATCACAACAAACTAGTTATGGTAAGAATTCTAACTCTTCTATCACCCTTCTGCCGATTATGACACACAGATCATAATTCCCTAATGGCCACTCAGGAACTCTCTTAAAAGACAGCCTGTATCCTACCAAGAGGCATGCATTGGACCTACTCTTTTTTTTTTTTTTTTTTTAAATCATTTCACTCCAAGCAATCCTACTAATATGCCAGGGGGTGACTGAGAGTGAAAGAGAATAAGATAACTTTAGTAAGGAGAAAGGACAATAAAAACAGGAATTAAGAAGACAGAAGATGGCAGGGAAGTAAGGAACTGGAAGAGAGCTACACAGGTGAAAGGTGAAAGGTGCAAGAAAAAAAAAAAAAGAAAAGAAAAGAAAAAGCTATTAGAATAGAATTTATGATTACATCTTTACATCTAGATATTCCAACTATAAAATGATAAAACCTAGTTGCCAATCTTGTTAGTCAGTTAAATGTCATCACGTGATACACACTTGGACGATCATGTTTCTTTCAATTCATAACTGACTAAGCAGAAAATTTTTTGACAATAGGTTGCTGTTTCTTTTCAAACCATAGCTGTGGGGGGTGGGGGTGGGGGGTGGAGAAGGGATGGATTTCCGAAGAGTATTTGTGCATAAGTGAATGTAACTAACCTGACTGGGAATCCAACTTGGATCTCTGATTTCTCACTCTGAGCCGGTATCCATTACACCACAACCTAGTAGTAAGCCTAAATTCATGTGGTTGAGGTATCAAGGAGAGCTCATTAGAACAACTGCCATGAAAATATAGAAAAGACAGAAGGAAGCCATGTCACAAAATTTATACTGTGACTATATAAGCCTGTGAATGGAACTTTCTAACTTCTGGCCAAGTGGCACTTGTTACTGAAAATTTTTATTGATGTATTTTTATTTTATTCTGTTAGTCAGTGGGTGGTCACATTTATAGGGTGCTTCAATACAACTGTGTAGGGGTCTCATAGTGTCATATGTTAACTTCATTCAATAAGTTTGAATTTTATTTTTTAAATTCCAACTCTTAATCCACTCAACGTATATGAATCATGAATAAAAGAAGTTTTTGCTGGTTTCACTTAAAAAAAAAAAAAAAAAGAAGAAAGTTTAACACTTTTCAAGCTGCATTCTTACCTGACTATACTGACCCATTTTTTGAAAAAATAGAAAATTGTGATTTACTGGAAATAAATAAATGCTGAGAGTGATTTCTCATAGGTACCACCATTTTATTTTAATCAGATGCCCTGCTGTATAAACTAAGGTAAATGACACCTCCAGTATATAATAAAAATAGGTCATAATATAGGTTGTATGGTACAATACTAGGTTAGTTTGAAAAAAAAAAAAAAAAAAAAAAAAACACACTAATTGCTAGTTAGTTTCTGACAAATACTAGGGACCAACATTTCATTGTGTCTTGAAAATGTGTATCTACATCAACAACAGCCAATATTAGTTTCATAAAGATGTATAAGCGTGTCCACAGCAGTGGAAGTGTTAATGAAATGATCTACCCACTAATTGTAAGTTTTTATAATAAAGTAGGAGCTGTGAATCTTTATAAGTTTCATTCCAAAATCATTTCTGATTTCAATTCTACAGGCCAGTTTAATACTCTCTTCTCTTGCAAAAGCTGAAATAAATCAATACATATGAATGATAATTTACTGAAGTTAAACAAGATGGCAGCTGTTCACAATACAAAAATCATTTATCAATTTTTTATTTGTTTTATTTAAATGACAAATATTCTGTAAATGCAAAAAACAATCACTTTTTACTCGGTGGTACAATAAGAATATTAACCAAGTGCAACTTACTTTACCTCCACCTGTCTTCACTTCATCAAAGCATTCCATTGCAAGCATGTGATCAATTCCTGGATCGACTCCAACTTCATTGACAATAGTGATGTCAGCATCTATGGCACTGAAATAAAGCAATAAATAGTCCAATAGTTGATCGAGTGACTGATCTGTTTTTTACAGTTTATCAACGCTTTTTGAGTTATTTAACTTATTAGCATTCAACTCTCACTGTAAATATTGGTTCTCAATGTTTGATCTGGGGTAACCTGCCCCACAATATATGACAACATCATTGCAAATAATGCAAGAAGTCACACAAACAGTGAGATTTTAAGAGCCAATATTTACGGAGCAGTTTGAGCCTGTTGAAGGTTAAAGGGTTAAAGCTTAAACATATTTTGAATTGTAAGAATAATTCTTTTCTGCAAGTTAATATTGCATTAGCAATTTTTGTGAATAACAATGATTTTTCCAGATAACGCATACTTGGGGGAGGGAGATGGATTCCTACTTTTGTCAAGGGTATTTGTGCGTAAGTGACTGCAATTAACCTGACTGGAATTTGAATTTGATTTTTAATTCCGAGTGCTATCCATTACACCACATGTACATTCAAATAGAAAGTAAATATTATAGTACATTACAAAATAATAGAATAGATAACAATGGACCCTTGACTTGAAGAGCTTAAGATTATAGTGTTCAAGGAAGCACTCACACAGGAGTTTGTTCAACAAAGTGACAGTTCTTGGGAAATGTTCTTACATTTAGAACATACAGGAAATGAAGGTGATTCAACTCCATAGAGGTAGCATGATGTCCTTGCAAAGGTCTGAAATGGTGAAACTAAAGTGGTGTTCATCTGAATATTTGCTATGGAAATAGTGATAGAGTAGAAACAATATGTCTGTAGAAAAGCGGTTATTGAGTAAAAAATAAGTCTTCTGCCACAAGAATGCATTAATGATTTTTGGAGATTAACAAGGTTAGAGTAGAGAAATAAGTGTGACATGAACTTACGCTTGATGAAGTTCCTTCATGGCAGGGCTAACATAACTGGCGGTCACCATATTTCTTTTGAGAGCAATGCAGATTTTGGCAATCATTGGATGAAAAGAATATGGTAAAAGGCTAAAAAATAAATGTTAAAACAAAATACATGTAAGTAGATTAATAAGTCAATAACTTAATGATGAAATAAAGCATTTTATAATATTATCAACATATTGCTTACTGCATCCAACCAGCATTTAACTTTTAAACAAAAAAATAAGATTTTCAAAACAATGCACTGCTTTCTGTTTGAATTTCTGGGATGAGGGGGTGTTATCATTATTAACACTATTTATTTTCAGATTACAGTCCTTATAACATCAGCATCTACAGGTGTGAACGGAAGGGACAAGAAGGATGACCAGAAAATTACCATGGTTTATCTTACATCAAGGGATTATTGGAAAAGATTCAGAAGATCTGCAGTCAATACAATATTTAAAAGCAGTTCCACTCTACAGAGAAATCTCTGCTGAGTAAAGCCTAACATGGGGGAGACCATGACCAAGAATTGGATGTAATCAATTCCAAGTTGTGGCAGAGAATATAAGAGTGAAACAAGATGCCTCCTAAAAGTAAGTCTGGAGGAACATCAAAAAACCATGATGAGGGGTGGGGTGGGGGTTGAGACAATGAAGTTGGGCATGGCTGATCATGTATGGAGAGAAAGAGGTAGTCATCATCCCCTCTGGAATTAAGTGAAAATACTGGACAAGAAATAACATTGGAGTTAGATGTCTAAAAGAATCCATGCATATGCTAGGCTATGAAGACCTCCTAGCATAGAAACAAATACAATATGAGAACCGCTAATGAAGAAAGAAAGACAAATGACAACACGTCCTCAAATGCAGCAGTAGACAAAATATGACAGACAGTAGCAGTTGCAACTTAATCAGCAGGCAGGACAAGTTAAAGCTCCAAGTTCACTACAGAAAATTGTCCTATGTGATTAGTGGATAAAAGTGTTGGTTTGTAACTTTAGTGACATAGTAGTTGTGAGTTCAATCCCTAAGACAGTGTGGACTTGTACTCAGTGGAGACAGGTGAGCAAGAACTAAACAGTACTAAATAAAAATAAAAACTAGACAGACAATATCCCTAGACATGAATAGTGGAATGAGAACAGTCTACTGCTGTAAATTAAATAAAGGATTCAGTTCAGAATTCCTAATAGGTTACCCAGATTGATATACACCTGAGGAAGGCAGGAGGGCATAATGGCTGAAATGTTATCACAACATTTCAGCCATTGTGCCCTCCTGTCTTGAGATGAGAACAGTCCGAATATAAATTGGGTAAATAATGTAAAAAATGTATTTGATTTTCTTTTCTTCTTCACACTCCTGATGATGGCTCGAGTGAGTCAAAACCTTGGGCTCAATATGAATTCTGGCTATTTCATACAGCAAACAGCCACATTTACAAAACATTATTCACATACTAGAAAAAAAATTATCAATATACTTAATAGACATAAAATGTCTATTGATATATTTACAAGAACAATTGCTACCAAAATTTTATGAATATTTACTTAAAAAGGTTTTTCTTTTTCTCATATTGGCAAGCCAAGTTCAAATTCAAGGCTAGTGTGTTCACTTCTGAACTAACACCCTTAGGGAAGAATGAATGTCTCTTTTCTCCGCATTTCTATGCATAAAATAGTAGGGTAGACTGGGCTCTCTAACCTTGATTGGCAATCAGTCTAAGAGAAGAAAACACCTCACTATCCCAAGAATGTATGGAAATTCAAAGATAGAAAAAAGGAATCTGTGAATAGTCATGATTGTGTATGTCTCAAGGAAACACAGCATTAGAAAAATATTTGCTTTTAGTTAATAGTTGTATTGTAGTTGTTTGTAATGTGATTATCAGTAAGTGTTTAGCATCCTGCTATCACCTATTTTATCAATATAAATTTTTGTACAAATCTGTGCAAAAAACTTGGATCACAGAGCTAATTCAGCTTAATACAGATTATTAATTTCTGATTGGTCACTTATTTAAATCATGTCTGTATATCATCAATTTCTGTGCAAAAAGTGGATCACAGAGCTTATCAAGTTTTATACATACTTTCAGAAAATCTCAACTTCAACTATTTAAGTCATGTTCGAATAACATTGACCTAGTTCTTGACCTGACCAAAAAATAATTCTGCTAAAATCTGTCAATCCTCTGTGAGCCTACCACGTGACCAAAGTTAGCAATAAATATAAAATGTTATTCATCCTCGACAGTGAGCCAATTGGAATCCTTTGAACTTGTCACACAGTTCAAGGCTTTACGTTAAAGTTCCTTAACATGATTTCAGTCTGAAAAGAACACTCACTCACACAACAATATTTTATCACAAACAATCAGCATTCATTTTCAACATTCAACTTGATACACAAATATTTGTCATACGCTTTCAAGCTCAACGCTAATTATTGCGATTAATATAAATGCAGCTTGTTAAGAATCAATTACTCCAACTACAGAATATTCTTTTCAAACGACAAGTGAAGACAAGTCAAAGAGCAACAACTTTGTAAATATCAAAGTCAGTCATGAACAATACTTCTCTACTTTAAGTACAAACTTGAACTGTTTATTTTTCCTTGAATTAATTACAATAATACTCAAGCACATTTTCTCATTATTGTACTGACCGTTCAACAACTTATAATCTATCAAACCAGAACTTTGATAACACTTCAATCCAAACATAAAAGGACATTTGAACTTTTTAAACTACCTCTTTACTTCAATTGTTTGTACCTCTTGGTTATATAAATATTTTATTCATTGTTGTGCAAAAGCAAAAATTGTTGTTTCTCATGTTTGTTTCTTATTCTATGTTTGTTGAATACAGAAATTTTAATGTGAGAGGAAATTGTTAATTTTATCACGCAGCCTACTTACTCAACAATTATTGATCCATATAATTTAATCAATTAAGACAACCTCCACAAGTGCATGAATTGCATATGATAAGTGACAAGTTAAAAGAGTGTAGTACATGTGTGGTCGATTTAAGAATTTAATGTTGTTTATACAAGAGAGAAGTATGCATGTGTCTGTTTGTAAAAAAGGAATAAAAGCTATAGTTTTTTTTCTGATCTTGATAATGACCAGAAATAAGGTCAATATCTCAAATGTTTGCTTGAGAGAGAGAGAGAGAGACCCCAAAATGATCATCTATTCCTTCAGATACCAGGAGTCAGTATTAGAAACCAGGTCAAACCAGAATTTCAATTGCTCAATTATAAGGCAACCAAGCAGATCCTCTCCCCTTTAGATGGTTGATGCATCACAAGCATTTGGCTTTGTGCAAAACTAAATTGCTTAAATATCCAAATGGCTTATACCATGTGATGCAACAGGCAGTGACTATATTTGCTACAAGAATGGTCTGCTACAAACACTGAATGCAACTTCTACCAGCTGCTAATAATCATCAGTATCTTAAATTACACCTGGATAATTCTTATACAAACTTGCAGATTCAGGTGAAATGAAACATTGATTACAAGAAATAGCCACTTATTAAGACTATTCATAACAGAATAGATCTTTTTGAATCAGATTTTTCTGTTTAAAAGAAATACCTATTAATAAGAACCAAAATTTGTAGTCCATGATGTATTCCACTTAAGGAAAACCACATGTGTGTATATAGTTGGAACAAATATTTGTAGCATTTTTTAAGTGGATTTCAAAGACAATATTTAGATATTTTTACATAGATTTATTCAACCATATATGTGCCATTCTGTTCCACTATTTTTCAACATCTGTCAGGCAGCTTCATCATTCCATCCTCCCAGAACATATTTTTCTGGCTAATAAATGTCTAAGTAGATTCCACAGAATTTAAGTTCTTCTCATTAAGAAAATTTTGTAGGAATAAGTGGTAATCTGAAGATGCAAGGTCAGATGTGTATGGTGTAGTAGAACCTCCCAGCCAAACTGTACCAATTTCCGCTGGGTCTTCAAAGGGATGGGAAGTCTGGTGTTGTACTAATGGAATATGAGATTTGTGCTCATATTGTAAATACTCATTGGGGTTAATTTTTAGAATTATTGTTTTATTCCCCTTCCCCCCACAGACATTGAATTGTATATATGAGGATTAGTTAGATTTTCATAGAGACGATGAGGTATTATGGTGTTTGTAGTTTGAAAGGTACGTATGAATGTGTTGTTTTGGTGTAAGGAATATTATTCGTATGATTGGGTCAGTGTTTGCAGCTAGCTAAGTTATAATTAAGACAGAAGAAGACCGTCCTCTCCCCATTCCCCTATTTCGGCCTTGTGCCACATTTCTGTATAATTACAGAATAAATATCACTAATGGAATATGACATCCTTCTGATTGGCCAAATCCAGTTGCATTTCATTGATTACTGTCTTTAATCAGTTCTAATGAAAGGAATACTTGTTTGAATTCAATGTCTGATTTTGTAGAAGGTGCTTGTAGCACAGTGTCCTTGCAATCCCACTACATATACAATATCACCTTTTTCAGATGCAAACTGACATTTCATTTGCTCCAGCAACTTTTTATCGCATCACATAGTTGTAAACAACCCACTCTTCATTTTTGTTACATTTGAACAGAGAATCACAGATGGAAATGCAGTTCATTAAAATTTTTTCTGTTAAATCAGCACCTAAAGATCATAGTAATTCATGTATCCAATTATTCTCAAATGCCTTACAATGCTCATATGTGATGTCTTGGGTCATGTGACTTTGATTATTTTTTAATCAATGTTTCAATTTGGTCATCAACAACTACTGTCCTGTCAGAATGTTCTCAGTCTTCCAGATAAAAATTTCTACTTTTAGATCTACAAAATTTTACCCTCAGCTATGGCACCATCTCTATAATGGCACATGTCTTTTTGGCTGTTTATGTACAGCGTTCTTTCCTTTCTGGAAATAAAAGAATCAAATGAGGAAAATTTAACATATTGTCTACCATTTTCACTTTTAATGTAAGAACATTTAAAATTTACAATTCCCAAATGAAACAGAAAGATGTATAAGAATGTCACCTTTAAAATAGATGTCAAATTTCAGACAGATGTGAAACAAAATTATGGGTTTAAATATCACCCACTGAAAAAAAATGTTACAAACTTTTGTTTCAACCCAATATAAATAAACACACATTCACATTTTTACAACCGCTTTTACATATAAAGAAAAATATATGTTAAAAAATGTCTAAATAATCATTTGGAAAAAATATAGATTCAAGATAAATGGCATTGAAAACTAACATTTTACTTGAAGTGAATAATTTGTTTTTTTTACCTGATGACAACGTCATGTTCATTGATAAGTTTTTCCAGTTCATCAGAACTGCGTGTGATGTCAAGTGTCAGGTAATCCGCATTGGGGCAGGCCCTAGCTATAGAGTCCAGATCATCTTTCAACTGGGAAGCTATCGTAAAAAGAAAGAGAGAGAAAATAAATTAATACTTGAAGTTTGTGACAGTAACTTCTCCATTAGCTCTTTTTGTTTCGTTTTTTTTAAATATTTTATTGCCTGTCAAAAACAGGATATTTATATATGGTTTATATATGAATAAGATCAATGTAGTATCTGTGTGCACTATACCTAATTTTGTCTTGGCATGTAAATTTTACTGTGATATTTAAACATAAGAATGTTAGCATAATGGATATGTTATTTGCATGCTTAAAGTCAAATATTTGAATCAAAGAACAGGATTCACTTGTTAATTTTCTAATTTTGTTTACTTTGAGCACAATGAAAGTTATGGGCAGAGAAACAAAGATGTATATAGAAAAAGTCACAATCCATATTCTTATGATTTTATAGTTATTTCTTCTGAAACAAAATTATTTGTTATAATAAGGTTCAAGGAAAACAACTATCCAACCACAATTTTTGTCACCCCTTTTTTAATCTATGCATTCCAAGATGTTATGATTCATTTTTGGATATATTAGGTTAATATACATACTCCAGGTCAGATTTTATTATGCAAGTCAATGCTTTCACAATAAAATTGGTATTAATACTTTATGTTGGTACAAGTCATATTTTATGTGATTGATATACCTTATGAATTTCAACTTATCTATTTTTACTAGAAATAGATAATATTTGGTAATAATTATTTAGATAATATTATGGCGGCATGGTGGTGTAATAGATTGCAGCTTGGATTGAGGAATCAGAAAGCCAAGTTTGATTTTCCAGTTGAATTCATTACATTCACGTATATTCTAATACTCTTGGGAAAGGTATGAATCCATCTCTTCTTCCCCACCAGCCATGGGTAAACAGTAGGGCAGACTGGGTTCTATAGCACTGGATGGCAACCAATCTAAGAGAAGGAAAACAACCGAATTCAAACTAGCCTGGAAAGGATTGGGCTCTGTCAGGCTATCTTACCCAAAACACACCACTTTTTCTGTGGTTGCAGTAGATATTGTGCCCCTACGACTCTAATGAGGACTAGTGATCATGTATTTTTGGTAACTTTAGATTTTCTATTATAAAACTTGAGAGTTGCTTGCAGTGTAGGTAAAAAATATAATGATATAGCTACACATATTTCTTTTTTAATTTAATATATATAAAAATTGCTGTGGGTTGCCAGAAAAAAATAACTTCAAATGAGAACCTGGATGTTTTAAAGTTATATGAAGCCAAATTGTAAAAATTGTGAGGAAAATGAACAGATATCATAAAAATGTCATAAAAAAGATTTTGTAAAAAAAAGGTAATAAGAAAAAAGTATTCGAAGCTGGTTTTATGGATGTAAATGGAGAAAAAATGTATAAAATATTAATAATATTGGCTAAAACAACTTTAATATTTTTAAGTAAACATCACAAAATTAAACATGAAAGACAGACATAGAAACTTATATTTCAACATTAATTTTTAATGATGAATGACATGTGATTGACATGCTAGGTGATATGTTGAGTCTTTCATGAAAATAGACAACAAATATAACATTTATTTATATTTCTAAGAGGCATTGTAACTATTTACATTGTTCAGACTGTTGTCCTCATGTTGGTTGTCATATTCATGTCAGTTCAGCTGTTGTATGCTTCAGCCTTCTTTAGGTGATATATGCTGAAATTTTGAACCCAAACCCTTTATTATGTGGGTAGATACAACTTTGAAGACAACAATAGGAGTTAGAAAAATGCCTCGGGGGCTCATATTGCAGGCAATAAAATTATAAGTCCTTTCAAAGTTGTGTCAAAACAAAGTATTTTTAGTAGCACAGGTTACAATCAAGAAGTAGAGATGTGCGGTTTAACCGAAAAAACAACTTTTTTCGGTTTCATCTTCACACCGTGAAACCACATCGAAATTTTTTACAAAACCAAACAATTTTGTTTTTGTTTTTTATATCACTACTGAGTGACCATATTCAAAGAAACACTATTGAAAAAAACTTTCAGATGTTAATAAAATTAAATTTTATCAACATTTATACCATTGTAAGAGAAAAGGATTGAACAAAATATGTTAAAAACATTTTATTGGCTAGTTTTAGGAAATAAATGTGAAATTTATTTGTTTACAAAAGAAATGAAGAAAAAAAGGAAATACAATATGATGTCTGAAAGAGAAATCAATTTGTTTCAGTTTTCAAAAAAAAAAAAAAAAAAATAGTTGCCAATTTCATCTTAATATTAAATTTTATGAAATTTTGTAAGGGGTTTAAGCCAGTTACACCAATCATGAAATAAACAAACAAGAAAAATGAATGAAGATTTTTTTATGTTTTTTATCTAGGGAATATACATAAATTAGATATTAAGAATAAGTAAAATAGTTCTTTATTTTATTTCACTTGTGTATATTTCCAGATATGTGACTCTCTGTTTTCTACAAATAAAATTATGTTTCTAGCTAGTGAATACACGTACAATTAGATATTAAAAATAAAGTAACTTTTAATCTAAGTTTTAAAATGTGTATCAAAACTGCAAGTCATTTTTTTAAAACCCAAAGTAAAAATTATTCTTTTTTAGCCACTAGTGTTCGGTGGGTGTTTGTTACCATTCTGCCTATAAAATTCTTTTAAACAAGGAAAATTAATTCATTTTATTTTTACAAATATCTATATGGTTTTATCTAGTGAATACACTTAAGAATATATTTAAAATGATTAAAATAGTTTTTAATTTCAGTTTTAAATTGTGTATCTAAAAAAGAACAGGTGCTACGTGCAGATTTGGAAATCTACAAGTTCTAAAAATGAAATTAAAAGCTTTTAATTATTTTTGATATTTAATTTTAGGTGTATTCACTAGATAAAAAATTTATTTAGGGAAAAAAATAACTCATTGATTTTCCTTGTTTAAAAGAAATTTATTTGCAAAACCCCAATAACAGTCGACTGGTGTACCAGAAAAGAATTACTGTTTTTTTTATAATCTTTGAAGGTATTTGCTTCCATGGGTCAGAGAAGAAATGAACATCTTCCTGGCTGTAGTTTAAGTCTTCTTCAAATTGAGTGTACAATTTCAAGAATATTGATAAAGATTGGTCACTTTGATTTTGTGAAACAAAGTAACGTGTAAAATTTAAATTTAGTCTTGAAAAAAAAAAAAAAAAATCATTTTGCATTTTTGGCTGGTCAAAGCAATACCATTTTAACTCGCTGTAAAAAAATAATTCAATGAATAAAAGCATATACAAATTACATATTTAGAAAGATTATTTTCTTTCCAGCCATATGAATATTTTTAAGATTGGACCAGAAATACATGAGAAATTGTGAGTTGAATGGACTAAGTTGCAAATTTATCAATCTCAAATGAAATCAGATATCAACTGGAAATGCTATCATTACACAAGAAAATGAATGGCTTCCTTAGAAAGCAAAAATACTAAATTAAAAACTGAATCAGGGAATAAAAACCGGAAACTGATACTAAAACATAAATTACCAAACTGACCAAACTCTACCAAGAAGTTTTAAGCTATAGAGTATATTCATGCAAGAGAATACTACTTTATATTCTGTATAGATGACTATTGCCCACCGTGCCAAAAAAAATTTCAAATACACCAAATTAATTTAATGCCCTCCAGCCACTTTAGAGAACAATTCAATAGAAAACTTCCATTATAAAAATTTACATAAAAAAAACAAAAAACAAAAAAATAAAAAAAACACATCCCTGTGCTTTTTTTTATACTCCCGAGACTGAAAACATTTCTAAGCAATGAGGTGTTCGGACAGGACATTTTTGATTTAGCCTGCTTATAGCAACATTGTATTTTGTTTAGGGTAGTAAAAAAGGACTGAGAAAAAAACTCCATCACAGGATTATTTTTAACCAATCAGAACAGAATTTGAAACCTGCAACAATTATGAAAGGCTTTATAAGCTTACTGGCTCAAATATAAAGGAAGTAGCCATCTGGTTTAATTACTATTCACAACACAAACTGGAATGGATAGTCAGAGAGATGAAAGTTATCAGATCAAGTTGCCTTAAGCACCAAATTGAGAAGAGCATGACTTTAAGCAACACACAAAAACTTAATAGAGACAATTTTGGATATGTAAAACAAACCCCCTAAGTTTTCCTTGATGATACAACATAACATAATTGCTGGTACCATATTTTAATAATTTAGCAAATTTATGAATAAAAATTCATCTTTTGTTTATTTCCTTATAAAATGCTAATTGATGAATATTACATTATGTTAGTTTCACTTGTATTAGTTTTTAGAATGTTAGAAACATAAAATTATTCTTGTAAATAAACAATCTAATAAATAGTATTTAATATTTTTGTTTAAATTCTCAAGAAAAAATGTATAAATTCACTTTTATATGTTTAGGTTTCATTGCAATTCTAATGACCACTTTTTAAAATAAACATTGCTAATGAGTAAAGGTAGTTAAAAATCGTCATATGAAAAATTGTCATATGAAAAATTGTCCTTTTGACACTACATTTTATTGCAGGCACATTTCTCCATGTTTACAAAATATTTTTAATAAAGAAAGATATAAGCTGAAACTCCCACAATATATTGCTCATATAAATATAAGAATATACTGAAAGTTGTACCAACATCATTTGGTTAATGCTAATTTTATTGTGAAAAAAATTAACTTGCATAATAAAATCTGACAGTATAACTGTGCATGTTTAGAAGGTAAGAATACACAGTTATGCACTGGTACTTTTCTCATCTGACCAGGCAACTTTGAAATTATGATTTGCTCCAGAGTCTGACGTACTTCTTAAATTAAAATTCCAATGTTCAATTTTAAGACATGATAGCATAGACAGTTTTACATCTGTTAGGGAACTCAAAACTGCCAACTTTATTTTTGGTTAATCACCAAAAAACCTTCATTATATAGTGGCCATTGCAGTTTTGAAAAATGTTGGGATAAGTGCATGAGTTCTCAGAGAGAGTACTTTTAAAGAACTATGGTCATATTGCTTGAAGCAGGTTACTTTTTCCTTTTTTTTTTATTATTTAATCATTTTGTTCTAAACAAGATAATGAAGTCATTAAAACACAAGTGTGGAAGAATACGAGAAAAAGAAAACCATCATAAAGGAATGAGAACAATAAAAGAACAGGAATTAAGTAGATAGAAGATAACGATTGACATTGCATTTAAATTTTTGAAGATCAAAGCAAGAAGCTGGAAGAGAGTTCCACAAGAGAGAAGTGCAAGATAAGAAACCATTATCAAAGAACTTATGATTACAACTAGACATTTCAACTATAAAATGATGAGGCCTTGCTGTTAATCTAGTAATACACTTAAAGTCTAGGTACGAAAGAGGAAAGGATGTCAAAACAATTATCATGAAAATATTTATAGAAAAGGGAAGCTACATAATGTAGCAATGGGAAAGTGACTGAAACTGAGATGCCAGGTCAGGACAACTAATACTGCAGATTCTTCTTTGTATCTTATCAAAACAATCTCTAAATACATAGCAGAGGCAGCAGATTAGATGTGGCAGCAATATTCAATTCATGGAAGAATGGCAGATTTATAAATGTGTAAGATTCTGACAAGAAAAATTGTCTAGTACAACATAGTGAATCATCTTTCCTTGCAGCAGACCTAGCAATTGATTCAATATAATCTTTCTGCTTCATTTTTTTTGTTAATAATTAAACAATTAATTCCAGACAAACCTTGTATAAAAGAGAATAATACATTTGATACAAAAAAATATTGCTGTTTACCATAAGGGTAGTTTTTTCTGATGCTAACATTCACAACTATTTTTCAATATGATAGAAATTTGAAGGAAAATAAATATAAAAGTAAATCTCACCAACAGTGACATGTGTATTCTTATCTCGTGTAAGATATTCAACAACAGGAGCGGACACATACCCAGCTCCCAACAAGAGGCACCGCTTAGAAATTGAAGAGCTTAGCAGTTTAGCTTTCTTGGCGACCCTGAAAAATAAAGATGTAAGACAACAAGCATTAGATTTTCCAAGTATATATAAAATGATTTTTATGAGTAGAAATTACTTTTCTGAAATTCAGTAGAATAAATCCCCAAAACAAAAGCACACATACACACAAGATTTGATTGTAGAGACTGAAAGGAGGCTCTGTTAGTTCAATAGTATATAATTGTAACATGTAAATATTAGCTTCTAGAAGAGCTTCCTTTTTATATCATATGGAGTATTTGGTTTTTCTTTACAATAATTTTGTTAAAAAAAGTAACCCTTTTATTGACAAATATATTGTGAATGTTTTATATGTTGCTTATGCTTAACTCTTGGAGCATGTGTGTCTAATAAAAATAAATCAAACACCACACATGGTTAAACAACTGCTATAGTATCACAGCAATTAACTTTCTGTTTACCTGATAGTAGTTAACCTAAATCACATATCTCTAATCAACACAACAATGTACAAGAAATCTGACAAATCCTTAGCAATATCAAAAAATACTATATTACATAAACTGAAAAAAATGACAAATACTAGAAGAATTGGTCATAAATAAAACAATCCAATATGAATAAAATTTTATCAAATTTAGAAACAAATACAATGAAATATATTTCATAACTTTACAAAACTGATATAGCAAAAAAACAATACAGGATGCAAACAGGGTTCATTTTGAAATTTTCAACATCTAATTTTATGCGTATTTTTTTTTTTTTTCACTTTCATTGTTGGTCTTCTTTTGTTTGAAAGTAATAAGCATTTTTGCATAATTGACTATGGACAATTTTGAACCCTTCAATTTGTGGAAGATGCATGGCGTTCTTCTTGGAATCTTCACCGGAAGGACAAACAAGGTGATTTCAGACTTGCTCAGCATCAGCAAAAGGATGGTGAAAAGGTCAGAAAGAAACTGGATGGTTCAGCATTTGACTATGAGACAACAGCAAAGAGGAAAGCCCATGATTGATGATCTGACACTGTCAGAACACCATAGTTTGCTGCTGAAGTTCAGGAGATTATCAAATTGATCCCTGCTAATTGATGCATGTCATTACAAGGGAGAAAGGTGTGGATCATCAGGCCAGTAGTGCATAAGGACACTACTTTTTACACAAGATGAGAAAGGGACAATTTCTGTCTAAGGCAATGCAGGAAAAATAACTTAAGCACACCAAGAAGTTGATCAACAAATTGAAGCAAATGTGTTTCTTCTTTGACAAGAAGAATTTCTGCTAAGACGAAAAGATCAAATCCAAGAACAACAGGAGGCTTGCTGTCTCATCTAAGAATGTTCCCAGAGTAATGCAGGCTTCTAGCAACAATCATGGTCTTCAGTGTCATCAGCAGTGAAGGTGATGTCATGCCACTCCACTTCTTCCCTCAAGCTGGACACCAACAGCCAAATCTGCATTCTGAGCAAGATGGTTAAGCCCTAAATTGGCCAGGTAGCTGCAGAGAGACTGTACATGTAGTATCATGACTTAGTAGAAGGAGAGACCAACTGATCCAGTTGCAACATGAAGGACAAGTTGAGTGCCAGTATCACCAGGGCCTTCAGGAGCCTAAATCAGGAGAGTGACGAAGGTCTGAGGCCAGTTCCAAGATCGTCTTGAGGCTGTCATTGAAGCCAAGTAGCATTCACAAAGTGAGATCAACAGAACGTGTTATGAAGAAAAACAGACCCATGTTTGGTGAATATATCTAAAAAAATTGAAAATACAGTTATTTTTTCCCTGATGGTAATCATGTGAATGAATAACATCCACACTCTGTACATACATATATATTAAGTATGTAAAAAAGAAAAAAGAAAAAAAAAAGAAAAGATACCTAAGGTTTAAAATTAATTTTTAAAAATGAAAAATCTTTCATGAAGCTTTTATTTTAGTTTTAATTTCAAGCTAATAGAGTAAATCTAATATTTCCAACAAGCAAAATACTTAATTTAAATTGACTGGAAGGAATTTATTTTGTTAAAATAGCTGATAAGCACCCCTTTTTTTTAGTCTTCTTTCATCACAATGTAATTCTCTTTATTAAAAAAATCTTCCAAAAATAAAATATACTTTTCTGAAACATTATTTGAGGAATATTAACTGGTTTAAAGTATAATTAATCTGATTTGAAACAAATATTATTTATTGTAAGTTTAGAATATCGCAGGAATGCATTTTTAACCTGACAGTATCTATTTTGATGTGTTGACAGCTTGATAACAGGTCTAATATTGTTCTACAGCGACTTTATCAGTAAAACATAATTGAAGAAAATGACAAGTGCTCCTTTTTTTATAAAATTTTTAAGTAATCATTAATCTTAAAAATTTAGAAAAATATTCTCCATAATCTAAAGTTTTATTGAATTTCAGAAATGCTGATTTTAAATTTACTATAGTTACTGATCTTATTTTTTGATAATGTTGTGTATGGTTGCCAATATTTTTATACACATATAAAAGAAAAAAAAAATTCTTTCAAAAATATTGATTCATATTAAGTGTTTCCATTTAGAATCAGTAAATATTATCATCCCCCTTAACTTTTGTAATCATGGGTGGGGGGATCTGAATGCTAAAACCACATTAAATCTCTTCCATAACATGCTATCAACAGCAGCTATCATCAATTCTGGTATAGTCATACCTGTCCACTGTTTCGCATTGGACAACCAGTTTCAATGCTGGCATCCTCTGCAATGTCCACTTTCAACGGAGCCTTGCATGATGGTCATGCACAAGCTGCCGTGCTTTGTAATGTGTCCAAACCATTTCATTTTTCTCTGTTTGACAGTGGCAAGAAGAGGTTCCTGGTGGCCCACAAAGATTTTCAACCCTCTTCTGCACAAATTCACTGGTTTTTATTTTTTATTTTTATTTAATAACAATATCATCTAAATATCTTCTGAAATTAATACAGAATTTTAAAAGATTTGAAACTGAGAAAACTTTTTCTAATTAAAATTTTAACAAAATGAAAACAATTCTTGTGAAAATTCATTATTCATGGAAAAAACAATTTTTTCTTAAGACAATAGTGTCTTTAATATATCTTATTTATAAAAGCAATTAAAAGCTTTTCTAATTAAATAATGTTATAGTTTTATTGCATTTTTTATTTTACAATTCATAGATTTTCAGTAAATGGTGTTCCTCAAACTGATGATTTAATTTCTCCAAAGAGTCCTGCTTTTAACTAATATAAATACAAAGACCCTGGAATTTTAATTTATCAAAATTCATAAAATTAAGTAAGTAGGGCTAACAGATGTATAAAAAATTTAAAAATAATTTAATTCATTTGTGAATAAATCCTGAAAATTTCATAAAGAGCCAACAAAAATTTTTCAAAACAATGTTTTTTTTTTACCACAAAGACACTAATGTCCCATATTAATCTTTGGCCCAGATGCTGACTAAGAAAAACAAAATTTTTAACCAAAATGTTGAACATGCTAAAAAAAAGAGAAGAAATTAAAAGATAAAATATTTTGGTCTTTCTGCTTAATAATAAACATTTTGAGAATAAACCATTATTTTTATTAAGCTTGGGGCTCTTTTCTTTTTCATCATAGCATGCTCTTTTTTAGAAAATTTTTGGAGATACCTACATATAATAGGAAGTGGATTAAATCTGACAAATATTTAAGATATTTTTTTTTTTTATATGTTATTTTTTATGGATAAACTTATTAGAGGAATTTTGTTGAAAATATGCTTTCTCTGACAGGGCTCTGTATAGGATATAGGTTCGATCCCAGTCAGAGAATGCATATTTTCTACAATATTTCTGGAACATTCAGGCCGGTAAATATAATTAATACTATTTAATTAAAAACAGAGCATTTACTTAAATAAATTGTATCTATAAAAATATTGTATAAAGAGAAAATATATTAAATAATTGCCGGATTTAATCCATTTCATTATATGTTGTCATTGTTTGCGGTAAGATACTTTTTGTGAGCAGAAATGATCAGTCGAGAAAAATTATTGAAGATTGTGTGTTTATAAACAGTAATTCAGACTTTGTTAACCAGACACTTCTCTGTAGCCAAATGGTTTCTGTATAGGAATACAGGTTCGATTTCCTGTCAGAGAACGCATATTTTCTACAAAATTTCTTGAACTTTAAATGTAATTAATATTGTTTAATTAAAAGAACAGAGCATTTACTCAAATAAATTTATCCATGAAAAAATAATGTGTAAACAGGTACCTACATATATACAATTGCGACATTATCAACAAAAATTCATTCATGATGATTTATGAAAGACAAAGCTACTTGGATTTTGGTTCCAATCCAATAGTGGGAATGTGTATTTATTGTCATAAAGATAACAATTTGGGCACAAGACCAAAGGGGAAGTGGGTAGAGGCTGGTCTACACTAACTATCCTAAACCTAGCTAATCAGATTTACAACTCACTCATCCATTACAATTATTCACTCATCACAAGAACTCATCCATCACCATTCAATCCAATATATACCACAATACCACATATTCACAGGGATCCTATTAAAACCTCCATGGCATAAATATTTCATATGTACAAATGTCTTCTTTTTTTTTTTTTTTTTTTTACTTTTTTCTTACAATAATAACTAAAAATGCAAAGCTGATGAAAAAGGGGATAAAAAAAAACAATCTGGGAGGTTGGGAATCTTGACAATATATCATAAAAAAATGAGAATGCTGGGAGCAGGCTGGGAACAACAATTACCAATTACCCATATTAACTAAGGTAAAGAAAGAGTCTAGCTTAACCAGGAAATATGTTCGGCAGAAAACTGCCCTGTTGTGCCAAAAGGGAACTAAAAAAGAAAATCAAGGCTGGCTCCATTCCCATGCTGATAAACTCTTTGTATCAGTTTTAATTTTCATCTTGAGCTGATGCCTAAAAAATCTGACCAGATACTGATGAGAATAACATTCATATAGTAAGATCCCCTCTATAGGGCATAGGAAAGTCAGCCTCAAGGT